ACACACACACACACACACACACACACACACACACACACACACACACTCGATGCCCGCTCATTTGCTCGTTCAAGCGCCCGCAAATCGTGCAAAATGAAATGAGAACGAAAGAATGAATGAGCAACGGCAGAAGGAAAAAATGGTGTGCATTAAATTGAAGACGAGACGCACACGATACCGATACACACGCACATTCAACACACCGGAGCTCACACCCGATCGCACCGAAGCCGATGTAAATTTATGCAATGACAAAAACCAAATTCAAACCCACAGCCATGCAAAACTAATCGACACTTTACTGTGCTACGTGACCCACTAACCACATTAAATTTAAGTAGTATACGATACATTAGCATAACAACTGTAACATAAAGCTAATCTCTACGTGGATCGTTACACTGTTCTCTCATCGTGTGTTGGTTGTGTGTATTGCTTATTGCATTGTTATGGCACGATGGCCCAAAACATACACACAGCACTACACTACATGCCTTAATAAAAGTGCTAGAGAATGTTTTCTTTATCCGTGGCGGTAGGGAATGGTGCGAGGCGTAACTCACGACGAGAAGACACTTTTTTTCACTCACTTACTCCCTTTCTCGCCTCTCTCTCACAGCTCTCAATCACTCTGTCTCCCATTCCCGTATCGGTTTGGCTGATGTGGCGGTGGTGGCGGTGGTGGTGATGTTGGTGATGATGGTGCTGATACTGATGGTGTTGTTGTGCTGAATAAAATATATTAGGCATGAAATTTCTTGGCATTAGAATATCCACGAACTGAACACAAATATGCCAGAAACTAATTCATTTTTCCGTTTTATTGGCGAACTCCTTTAGCGCGTCGCGCGCGCCTCTCGTACGCTTTTCAATGAAGATTTAAATTAAAGCTTTTAACACTCTGGCATATCGTCACTGCATATTGTCTCTGTCGTTCTTCGTTCGGCACATTTTCTCTGATCAGGCCGTTGTGTGTGTGTTATGTTATTGTTGGCGTTGTTGTTGCTGTTTTTATTTATTTTATTTTTTTCCTTTTTACCATTTTCTATATGTATATGTTATGTTGTTCCCTTCAACATACACTCATTCAGTCATTCGCAGTCGCATGCATACACTTTCTCACTCTCACTCTCCCACTACTTGCACACTCGGCCTGTCACTCGAATGTTGTGGATGCTGCTCGACTGCGTCTGTTATACATATTAATCATGATTTGAGTTTAAGTAAAACAAGCAAATTTGTCGGGTAGTAGAAAGATACTTTTATAGTCAACACGATACTTTGTAGCCTATTAACATCTTTGCCATTCATTGCGAAACCCACTTAAAAATGAGCGAACATGAATTTTGGTTTTCCGCAAACACATTTACTCTACAACAACACAACGATGTGTGTGTGTGTATGTGCATGGGGTGGCACATTGAGCCATAGTTAAAACACAAGAGAGGCTAGCGACCCAACCAACGAACGAACGAACAAATGAATGGAAGAACGGGGATGAGAGTGAGAGAAATGAACATACATATTTCACATGCACATCGGAAACGATCCGCGAAACCGTTTCAAAATAGAGAATAAGAAATTATTGTGGCGGTGATGGTGAGGGTGTTAGTGTTGAAACGAATGAGTGTGAGAGAACGTTTTGTGTATTTTAGTTTTAACCGCATTATGAAACTAGGCGTATATTGTAAATTATTTACTTTAATACCAAGGGAAAAGCTCTTATTCGCGATTCAAGTATTTAACAGGGATAAATAAAGTATTGTTAGTTAAGAAGTCAATGTCTGTTTGTGGAAACGGTGCTCGATTGCTCTGAAAAACCAAAACACAACTCGACGCAACATCGCAATGGTAAAATGCCGACGAAACGATAAAATGGTACAAATGGCAATTGCATTTTGCCTGGCGATTTTAGTTTATGTTTGTTGGCTTATCCCAATCTATATTGTAGGCGTAATTTGACTTGCTTGGATTTAATCAACACGATATTTCCTTCCTTTTTCTCTCCCTTTTTTATTATGCGTTTACCTTTTTCCATGTGCCACTTTCTGACTGGATGGCTGGCTGGCTGCTTGGCTCAATAACAATCGACCATGAAGAGGCTACAATCGGTTGCCAGTTACCTGATTTGAGATTTGTTCGACCAAAAAAGTTTGGCTCAACAACGACCGAACAACCGTACGTAACGTTTGAAACAACGCAAATATTTCTACCGGATGAATTTACCACCGCTGATTTGGAGGACTATGAGCGTTCGGTTGAAACACTGTCGACGGAAACCGATGCGCACACATCAAACCTACGGCTAACACGATACACTGATTACAATCCTTATGCGTGGCATGGTGGCGATGGGTAAACAAAAACTATTCCAAAATGCTTTATGCAAAGTAAAACTGTTTCGTAAATCTAAATCTAAATCTTGATGCAATCTCACCATATTCTCTCACCATATTCTCTCACCCTTCTCTCTATTTATCTCTCTATATACTCTCGCGTGCGCACACAAACACTTTAATTCAGCTGCAAGCGAGACAGAGAATAAGAGAATGAGAAGCAAAACCACTTTGCTGAAACGCACAAATTTTCAATAGCTCAAATATTTCTAGAGATAGTTGTTCAATGTTTTGTTGAACTTGCATGTGCGAATATATTTTGTTGTTGTTGTTGATGTTGCTATTTTTTGTTCCTTGCGTCTGTCTCGCATACTAGCACTAAATTTACATCTGTCAATTCGATCTTTCTGTAGGGATGAGCTGCATGTTCCGCTGGGTAGCGCTGGCGGTGAAAGCATTCATCGGAACGTGAATGGCAAGTGGGAACGCCGCAAATTGCGAAAAAATACAGGTCGACGCCGGTTGGACCAGCATAATCAGGGCCACAAGCAGACCAAACGGGAAATTCGAGAAGATAAAGTAATCGACGTCGTTTATTATATTCAATCGACAAACATTGTAAGCCAATTACATCATGATTTACAGCATCAACAGCAGCAGCAGCAACGACAGCGGCAATGGAACATCGATGACAACGATGGCTCAAATTATGTGCTGTCGTCGTCATCGTCTAGCAAAAACGGCCGAAAAACAATGAAAGCAAAAAATTCATTTACTAATCAAGCTGACATTGACAGCAATGGAAATGTTGACACAGCCATAGAGCACGACGATGACAACAATGATGACAACAGCAACAGCGACAACGGTGACAATGACTACGACGGCATCGGCAACAGTAAAACAATGAGAGTTACATTCAAACTGAAAAATGGTAAAATAGTCCATAAAATTGCTTTGCAACGCACACAAACAGGAGAAAATAGCCGTCGCAATAAAGCTGGCAAACTGAATCGAAATGACAACGATAGTACCGAAAGTGTCTATATGGATGATGACCATGATAAGATGGTGATGACAGGCCGAACAAAATCAAAGGCAAACCAGACGTCAACGACATCGACGACGTCGACAACAGCAACAAGAACAAGAACAAGAACAACAACGGCTAATGCTTACAATGCTTTGACCGATAACGACAATACTTTCCATGCTGACACGAACGCACAAAATGTCGAAGACATTGACACAATAGCTACAATGAACCATGATAATGAGTCGTTTAACGATACCAAAAATCAATTGCATCGCATCAAACGAAAGTCGGGAAAGGCTGCAGGAGCCCTTGGTCGGCCCAAGACAAGCGATAGTGGTTCAAAGAGTACAAGTCGTAAGAAAGAACGTAAGTAACGAAAGAATGAAAAACGGAACAACAGAAGCGAAAAAATGGAATGGCCAAACGCTGTGCTGGTCAATGTTTCGATCATAACCGTTTCGATGTACAAATTGAGCATCGACACAGTTGGTCGGCACGGCAATCGAAATACATCGGAATACTCACACACACACACACATACTGTACCGAGCATTCCGGCCAAATGTATTTCGATCGGGATGCGATTGGAACGTTGACCAGCGAACGGCAGCGTTTATATTGTACCTGAATGATTATTCGAAATATTCGGTTTATAGCTTTTTGTGTTTTCTGGTTGATTTTTGCTTTTTGCGCAATTGTGTGTGCGCTTTGCTTATCGTTTTTTTTCCTGTTTTGTTTTCATTGTGTGTGGTTTTGATTTCATTTTGATTGCGAATTGCTTTGGCATTTCAACATTTTTCGATTTTCCACTTGAATTTATTGGGTTCGTTTTTGGTTTGGTTTTAATTAAATTATTCACATTCCGATTGTTTAGTTAATTTTCATGTATTTTTTTTCCATTTAATTTGTCTTTGATTTGGGATTGGGCAATGACTTGTACTGATTTTTATCAAACTATCGATACCGTTGTTGGGTGAAAACTCTCCAGTCTGATGTTGTGGGCAAAGAAAAAAATTTCGAGATATTCAATGCTTAATTAGTGCCGCTAATTTTGAATTTAGTGCTCAACCTGGGTGACCGAAATAAAATTTGATATTTTGGGTGTTAAGGGTGGAAAAAAACATTTTGCGACAGGTAAAATTCAAGTCGGAACGCCGAGATATGGTTTATTCGCAGGCACCAGTTAAGTATCAAATATTGGCGTTATCGGTTTTCGATTTGAATGTCTCCTATCGAAAATATTTCTTTCTACAGATTTTCTTCTTCGTTATGTTAATAATATGTCATCATCGAGAAATTTGTAGATTGTTCAACCCCAAATAATCGATTTTTTCGGCCACCTAAGCTGGATACCAATTCTGAAAATTAGCCGCACTAATTAGCACCAATTAAGCACTGAATATCTGTATATTTTTGAAACATTCTGCCCGCAATGTCGGGCTGGAGAGTTTTCACCCAAGCAAAAATATTTCGTTGGAGAAAAAAAAAATGGAAGAGAAAACGAAAGAATAAAAATGAATGAAATGAGGAATGAAGAATGGAAAAGAAGAAATGATGCAACAACATGCTGAACAAACTCATGCACTGAAATTAAGCATACAAAACGGTAGTTTTCGTATAGTTAATTCATTCCCTTTCGTGCGAGCTGCTTCAACGAGCATCTGTTGTGTGCCTTGCAAAGCAATTTCTCTACAATCTCCATATAGCTATATTTACTTACGTTTCGTAGTCGCTATTGCTCTATCATCACGCGAAATGAATTTGAATTGAAGCTTTTCCCGTTAAGAATGTGTGCAATGTTAAGCAAACGCATATACAACAAATTTGCGTGTGAGCGAGCTGCTCGATGTGCGCTCAAACACACACACACACAAACTCACACAAAACGCTCTCTGGCATTCATACGAATAGAAAAGAGAGACGATTGAGAAATTTCAATTTCAACCGTATGAACGCATTTCAGTTGTTTTAATAATAACATCCACAACAAATAACTTCTTCTGACACAGGTATGAGGATCAGATGTTGAACGAGCTAAAGCATGTGTTCTTTCCAAGCTAACACTTAATTCAAGTTTTATGAACATTTTATTCATAAACAGCAGCAGCAACAACAGCATCAACGACAACAAACGACGACGACAACGATGACGACAACAACAACAACAACAACAACAACAACAACAACAAAAAACACCAACAAAACAATTCGTTTTTGTCCGCAATTTCAACTTTCATGCATTTTGTGCGAAGCATTTGTGCTGTGTTCTGTGTCTCTTCTTGTTGGTTGTTTGTGTATTTTTTTTAAATTTTCATTTATGTTGTTTTTTTTCACTCTCTTTCTCCCTTTGTTGCCATCCTTGTCGCCATCATAAATTTGTTGTATTTTTGATTAGTCGGTTTTGTTTGGTTTTCCGGCTGGTCTCTCTCGCCAAAGCGGATAATTGCACCGAGAATAACTGGAGCCGAAAGCAGAAAACGAAACACCGAACTGTTCGCCGTGGCTGGAGAACATTTTCGCAAATCGAATTTTAACAAAGTATTAACACCTTTTTCGTGGATTTTTCGTTGCTCCACTATTTATTTTGGTCCCGCTTGTTTTCATCTCTTCATTCGATGTCGAGGTAGTTGTCGTCTTCGTCCGGTGCAAGTTCACATTTGTTTTCTCACTCTGTGTTTGTGCTGTCAGTGGCGACGGTGGTGGTGGTGGTGGTGATGGTGGCGGTAGCATTGGCGGCAGCAGCAGCAAAGTTTGTTTGTGGTGGTTTGTTTACAAAGTTTTCCTTTTATTTAATGCGTTTTCATTTACACGATTTTAATCGCGTTGAATTGTCTCAGCATCCATATACACTAAACTCTACTGTTGGATATTGGTGGCTCATGCTATGTTTGTAATAGGGGGTGAAAAAGAGATACCATAAGCTGAACTTCTAATGCATACACATATAAACAGTCTCATATACAGAGAGTACAGTGAGTGAGCTCTTTTTTTGAAAAATGGACAAAGTTAAAAGCTAAAGTCTTAATAAAAACGTGCAAACGTTTTATGCACTTCGCGTAGTTGGCATTCGGTTTGTTCTTTTTGCCACGTCGTGTTACTCAAGTGATGAAGAAAGTTTTATTATAATAATAACAATAACAATAATGTGCTCGCGGGCTTGCACTCCATAAAGCACATAGTGTGAACAAGCGACAAGCTATTAAATACATGCCTTGTGACAATGTGAACAAGATTCGCTTCCGAGATACCGATTCCATTCTTGCTCTCTCTCGCGTGCGCGTTTTCGCTCAGATTTTTGCCGTGCTCGCTATCTCGCCGGCCACCTCTTGCTCTCATTCACTCTCGCCTAGTTCAGCAAGCAGCAGCAGAAGCAAATCTACAAATGGATTTTATCCCTTTTCCACATTTATTTTGTAATAATGAAACTTATTGTTAATTTGCAGTTGTCGTTTCTTTCTTGTTATATTATTCCGTGCCGGCTTTCAGGCATTGGATTTTGAGCTTACGATGCTTTTCAGCTTTTTTCGAGTACTTTGCATTAAATCAATTTCAAACTTCATTTATTCTTCTTCATCATGCCATAACACACTCATTGCCTCCTCTATCTGCACTCTTCTCATTCTCATTTTCACTATGTCACCCATTTGAGGAGCCATGTGCCTCTCTCTCTCACTCTTCACCAATCATCCTCCCCCCTCACACTCCCAATTCATTCACGTACGCCATCATCTCAATGCCGAAATGAATGCGTTAAAACCGGGGCGTTAGAGACGCCAGTTCGTGGCGCGTCGAAGAAGTGTAATGTTTAATCAAAATGAACACTGTCATGATAATTTTTGAAAAAGTGCAATTTATAAAAGTTATCAAAGTCGAATTCATTGCGCTTTCGAACAGAATCCGTATAAGAACATAAACTATTATTGAAAAGTTGTTTGAAATTGTTGTGAGGAAACAACAACAAAATCATCTGAGGCGGAATGGCAATGGCACGTTTCATCGTGTTCCATAAGCAGCAGCAGCAGCATCAGGGTTCATAAGTAGGAATATTACATTTTGAACCAAGATATTGTGAACTTGTGTCTACTTTAATTTAACATTCGGGACGCAGGAAACACTCACACACACATACATACGTACACAGTGAGCGAGAGATCAGTCGATGTTGGATGCGCGCTTTGATCGTGCCTCATCGTTCGCCAAATCCATCCGAGAGTAGTTAATTCGACGACAGAAGAAAATGGTGAAAAATTTAATTGAGCTCGTCTTCATCCAGAGCACTTTGTCGCTTACTCGTTCACGCAATCTCTTTTTTACCTCTCTCTCTCTCTCTCTCTCTGTGTGTGTGTGTGTGTGTGTGTCTCTCCCACTTCTTTGCTCTCCATCGTACTCAACCGAACCGATGTTTCCTTGCTCATTGTATATTTACCTTCGTTGTGCAGCACAGTGTGTATGTGCGAAGTTATCGTTGTTTTGAGTGGCGCAAGAGCGCGTTTGTTTGAATATACCGTTTACTTTTCTCTTTAATCAGATTTGGAATTTCTTCAAAATACATGGATCACGTCATGTCATATAAATTCAACCTTTTCTCGACCATATTCTGATACTATGTAGTTTTGCGATATTCGATTTTGTCTGGAAAACTCTTTCGAAACTTTTATCATTTATCAAAAATGTGAACTAGAAGATAAAAAAAGGAAGCCAGGGTTCATACAAAGCAATTCAATACAGATAGATTCCGGCGCACCAAGAAAAAAAAACACACTCACCGAACCCCGAACCAAACCGAAGCAAGTGCCCAACATACATACACACATACACAATCTCATGTTCCAAGGAAAAATGAATTTTTGATTAGTAAATACGTATAGTTTGTAGACTTTGTGCATGGGAAAATTTCACGTATGAAAACAAGCTTTCAATCTACAGCTTGCTCTCTTTTACTCTGACTCACCCTGACTCAGTTTTTACTTCCAAAATCAAGCCAAACAAACAAATTCCGATGGAATATCTTATGCAAATGATGCCGAAAAAAACTACTATATTTTCACTTCTCGAATTTTCTTACAAAAAATTTCAATCTCGGTCGTCTTTTTTCTCTCTCTCTCTCTCTCTCTCTCTCTCTCTCTCTCTCTCTCTCTCTTGGCACCATTCACTATATATACATTATACATCCTCCTGTCTGTCGACGAAAAACAGAAAGAAAAAAGTTCAGTTTTTGATGTCCCTTTGATTTTGCCACTATGAATAACAAAGACGAGCAACCAAGTTTCAACTTTGTCAAGCAACAACAAAAAAATGAACGCAAAATTCTCCCGAGAATAATCACAGTAGTCGATTTCGTAGATTAAAACAAATCGACTTTTTTATGCGGTGATTTGTAAGTTTCCTCATTGCACAGTGACAGAAAAAAAACGGACTGAATGTCATTTTTGGTGAAAAACAGTCACAAGTGGCCGAACGTAGTTTTGATAAACAAAAATATAGCAACAGCAGCAGCAGCAACAACGACCCAATGCTCGAGACAATTCGTTCCACTTTTATATGCGGCTGCACTCAAAGGTAAAGAAAAAAATGCAAAGCACATGATAATATGTCCACTTGGCATACGGTGCTGTGGCAACGAGGGGCGCTGCAGATTTGAACAACAATCATGCGACAAAAATTAATAAATTTTTGAATGTATTCTTTTTTGTCGTCGCCTTTCCGTTGGTGGTCGATGTCTATTCTTTGCATTCGCACTCGTCGGTTAAGGTGGGATTTTGTATATTTTCCAAATTCTACGCATATTTTCGCATCTAATGGGATTCCTCAGTGATGTTGGCTACTTTTTTTTTATTTCTGTTCGTTCGTTCGTTTCTTTTCTTACACTTTTATTTTGTGTCTCACTGGTCCCATTTAAATTTGTTGAGAGAGAAAAAAAACATGCTCATTCTTTACACCATATAACACACATATACCAATGCCGCTGCTGTTGCTGTCAACAATAACGTCAAACAACAATACATAATAAATGCACACAGATGGAAATGAGGAAGAAGTCGGTCCAGTGCCGTACGGTCCTGATGAAGATGAAGAACCGGAGGAGGGCTCCGAAGAAGACTCCGAGGAAATATCATTTGATGAGGTTACTGAAGTTCGTTTTCCTGGCGAAGTTGGTCCGATGGGAGATCGTCGTTTATGCAAAATACGATGCGTAAAGGGAAAATGGGTCGGTCCATTGTGCGCCGCAACGACGACTAATGAAGAGGGTAAAGAAAAACTTGTGTTCATTTTTATCCAGTGTATTTGTTTGACATCCTTCAGCCATTCCATTTACATCATTTCGAAAACAAAACAGCCAGAAAAAAAAGTGAAACGACCAAAAAATATCAACTCAACACATACTATAAAATTTCGAAATGATGCTTTCCCTTTTTCCATTCCTCCACCGGTTTCACTCTTCTTCCCGTGTTCCCTCTCTTTTTACAGCCATTTAATATCTAAATAATATAAAAAATCATATTTTCTCATTTTTTCGGTCTCTTTTTCTCTGTTCATTCGTCATCCGTATCGAACAATGCTTGTAACTGTGCATTGTGGTTTTGGATACTGTCATAAAAAAAAATCTTCACCCCAACACATACATATGTGCACCGACCTTTTTGCCAATACATATCGACATCATAACATATATCTACGCACATACACACATACTTTTTCACTCATTCACATGATTTATCCATTATGAACGCCACAACCGACACCATAAACCAAACCAAACCATACTAAATCCAACAACAACAACAATAACTTCATGCAAACACTGTGTGTGCGCTCGCCCCGCTTGTCCAACTGCACGAATGAAAACACACACACACACACTACGCAACAACAACAACAACAGATGATCATGGCCAACTGAAATTTCAGCCGTTGTACAAAAGTTGTAATGTGAATCGGATCCCACCCCATTTGTTGCTTAGCTACAAAAATATATCAGTGGTATGAAATATTTTTTCCATTATCGCACTTTTATGAATTATACTTGCACACATACACACTCATAATATTTTTTGCTCTTTTCCTCTTGAGGTTTAATTAATAATTAACAATCATACATCACAATAATGTAAAAATTATTCCATTTTGCCGTCTGCCGTTTTCTGTTCGTCCATGCTCTCATGCCGTTGTGCATCAGCCGCTTTGAACAGCAGCCACAATATCTAAGACATTCCAACCATTACTTTTTATTAATATGTTCTTCTTGGCGTGCTATGTCTTGTTCGTTTCGTTCATAGAATCGGTAGTATCGTGTACGCATCGTATCTCAAGTTCATGTGCTCCGTTCGGTCGGTCGGTCGGTCGGTCGGTCGTGCCGTTTTGTTTGGCGCGACGAAAATTTTATGATTCTTTCAAGTCAATCAGACCTCTCACTTACTATGCTTTGTCGATAGCTAGTAATTCTGTAAGCAAAAGGTATACCGACACACCGATTGCTGATTCGTTTTTTTTTTCCTTTTCTTCTCTTTTCCCGAACTTTAAGTTGTAACGGAAAGAAGGAAAAATGCTTCGTTTCCCGTCGCCAAAATCACCCTCCTTTCATATTAACAATTTCAGAATTTCTGTCCAATAACAACAATAATAACAACGACCACATCAACAAAGGAGAGAGAGAGAGAGAGAGCAGACTCATCGAAGTGCCAATGCAGAGGGAAAAAAGTGAGAAGGAGAGAGAGAGAGAAAAAAATCTCATATCCAAACTTTCCGAACTCTGTGCAAATGTTTTCAATTTCATTCTATTTCTTGCGCTCCGTTTGACCCGGCAATAATACTCGACTGAGTGAGGCGAAGAACATACGACATTGGGCACATAAATATTATTTTATCGAATTTTTCAATAAAGCAAATCTACATTGTTTGCAATGGCTTGTGGAATGGTCGTTTTAATAAGATTTCCCATAAAACATCTAACAATAAGCCCAAACATTTACTCACATAAAAGATATTATTAATTTTGTGCTCTTTCTTTCTCCCTCGATTTCTCTCTCTCTTGGTTTCGGTTTTTTTTTCTTCCCCTTTTGATGCCCGTCCCACTCTAACTCTCTCGCTCTCATTCGCCCGCACCAGATCTCCGGATGTCACACGATTATGTTAAAGGCACACACACACACACACACACACACACACACACACACACATAGCTTTTGCGCTATTACATCGGATTCGATTTTTTTTTCGCCTACAATTGGCTCTCCTTTATTTCTTTCTTCCTTTTTTTTCTCTTACTACTCACTTTCTTTTTTCCAACGTATTTTTTTTTTTAATTTACAGAGCGTTGGATGGGATGTACCACATGGTCACTCTTTGCAAGCACGTTGCAAAGATTTGGGATTATATAAATTGCTAGGCGAAACTCGTGTCCTTTGCTCAAATGGGTTATGGGCACCTCGTATGCCGTCCTGCGTTCCAACGACACTATTAACGAACTTCTCGGGTAATTTCATTTTTGTTTTCACTATGCTTTTTTTCCATACGTAGCTTCTTTTCACATCCACTTTGTCTCGGTCATTTTCTCTGTCTCTGTGCCAATGAAGCTAGAGAGAAAGAGTGTGCCGCAGAGACAGAGTTCAAAATGATTTAGTGTCGATTCGGACACCAAACATTTTATAAATCATATCGTTTATGTGGTGTTACTTTAATTGGTAATTCGAAATCTCTGAATTGTGTGTTTCAACATGTGGATAATAATATACACGAAATTTGCGCTTGAAACGACGATAGATGACAGTCCGCCGTCGATTCGTATCAAAATTGGAATTGGTTCCGGTGCATTTGAGCCATCAGGTGTATTGGCCGTGTTACCGGGAAGCACCATACATTTGGATTGCATGTACGTACGACGTCGTGGTAATCCTGAGTGGACATGGACTGGTTGGCATCGAACATATCAAACAGGTAATTTAAATTTTTCGGGCTTGTTTGCTTTTTTCGGCTGGGTGTTTGGGTGTATGGATGCATACAGATGGGATGAGAAGTTCATTTGAATATTCACTAACTGACCATAATTAATCAAAAATATTCCACTCGCATAATAGAGCTCACACGATTTTGACGTATTTATGATCACATTTTTGGTTTTTATGTTAACGACGGGTTGTTGAATGCGAACTTAGTTTTTCAATGCGCTGCTGGCTGAATAACAATATCAACAATTCCAGACCGATTTCGGTTTATGTCTATCTGTGTCTCTGCAACAGCATTTGTGTGTGGGTGTACTGTACACAAACATTAAATGTTACATTTTCAATTCACGTTCTCTAGTTTTTTATTCGACTATACAGAGAGAGAGAGAGAAATAGAGAGAGAGAGAGATAGAGAGAGAGAGAGATAGAGAGAGAGAGAGAGAGAGTACATGCACCGATGTATTTATGTATGTGCGTGTGTGTGTGTGTGTGTGTGTGTGTGTGGTCGTTTTGCTTTTGCTATTTGTGTCTGCCAACAATCTGGTCGGCGCTTCCGTGAGAACTTTATTCGGGAAATTGTAGCAATTTTCTAATTTAAATAAATCCGCAAAAATGGTATGCAAATTTGATGCAAATATCTGGAACGTTATTCATTTTGATTTTGACAATTTTATTATCCACATTCCACATAAATAAAAACGTGCTTGCTGTCCGTACAAATTCCGAATATAACAACCCAGTGAAGTGCACACGAGAACTGGATTTTGCATTAAAATGCATAACAGGGATACCAATTGCAGTCGCCATTCGCAACAACTACAGTAATGGTATCGGTGAAGGTGGTGGCGACGACAGCGGCAGTAACAACGGAAACCAACATCATCCTCGTCCTTGTCGTCATCGTCGTCACTGTAATATCGGTCTATTCATGTGCCACGGCCACCGTGCATAAATTGGAAAATGAAATGCATTCAATTGACACGATTCGTTTGCTAAATTGTTGCTCATTTTGTTCGTGACAATCAACGAGTCAAATCAAATTATTTCCCAAATCGACCGAAGCCTTTTTGCATACACAACCCTTAACAAAGGGTAGGCAGCGGTAGTGGATGCAGCAGCATCAGCAATCGTTCAACGTGTTACCCAGCTCTCTCTCTCTCTCTCTCTCGCACACATCAAAGAAAAATATAGATATTGAATTTTCTCCAGAATGCACAGACAAAAACAGAGAAAATCAGTTTGTAAAACAGTCACTCACATGACCATTGAAGCCACACACTCATACACATATGCACATAGACATACATGATTCCGCTCTAGCATGTCAAAAAGTTTGAGGTGGGAAAAAAATGTGAAAAATCGCTTTTATCTTGTTTCTCATAGAAAAATTCATTTCATTTTTGCATGTCCATTTTGGTTCGTTAAAGCGCAACGATTCTGCCGGTTACTTTTTCTCTCTCTGCCCCTGCTCCCTTTCTCCCCCGCGCGCGCACTCGCTATTTTCGTCGCCGTCGTCTGTGCTTTTGTCTGTGTGTCGCAAGCAATTTGTGTTGCCTACCAATTAAATGTTTTATCCCGTGCATACGAGAGTTTTTTTTCGTACAATTCCGAGTTGACATTAGAGAGGTAGACGGTACACGGTGAGAAGCTATTTAACTTATACGACAATTTTGCATTGAAATTCGGTAATGCCGTTAAAAATTCATATTGCAATGTGATCGCAATTCGCATTTGATGTACAACTCTCAAAAGAAAGCTATAAACTTTAATCCTATCGCTCGTTTTTTTGTTGCTGTTGTTGTAGATTTTTCTCCATTTCAATCTACCATATTTCTATGTGTGTTTGTTTTTTTTTTTGTTACATGCAACCTCTCGCTCTCTTTCACTCACACGTCCACTTAAATGCTATGCAGTTCATTTTGAAAAGTGCTTATTGTCGAACGGCATACAACCTATGGCGCAAAATAGTTTTCAACAGTTACCAGAACCGTTGATTGTCCAAACATAATTTTTCGCCTACTATGTGACATGGTTGGAACATGAATTGGACTCTGTTCCTCTCCCTCTCGCTCGCTCTTTTCTTCTCTCATTCACTCATTCATTCTGGCTGAGATTTAGCATTTTACAAAACCGACTATAACTACAATGTGCTTTTTATGATTGCTCGTAAAGAGTTCATTTTGCCCGTTATGATCAGCCATCAAATATGCACGAGCTATTCAACGGGAAAGCATTTACTGTGTCGGCCCATAATTGTGACAAACATAAGCAACTTTTGTTGCGTATGCTTAGCAAAATTGTTTTTCATCCGCCCGGTGACTCTTTTTTTCTTCCATTAGCTGTCACATCATCGTGCGGTTTTTCCCTCCGTTAAAAGTTCGCTGTTGTTGGTCGTTTTTTTTCGGCAACGCTCTACATGCGCTCAAATACAGTTTATGAATGCAATGCATACAATACAGGAACATGGTTGGCGAGACATGTATAAACAGCAACAAAAAGAAAAAACAACAGAGTTGCACAGACAAAAAAGCTCCATACACCATTGAACCGATTTCGATTCGCTTGTGAAAAATTCGAAGCAATAAATTTTAAGCACTTATTATAAATTACATTCGGAAAACGGAAAAAAGGTGGGCTGAAAGTTTTGCGGATCTTTTTTCTCTCTGGCAAGAACATGCAGTGTGCGCGTGTTTTTTTTTGCGACATTGCGCGCTGTTCAGTTCTTTTCGTTTCATTCCATTCATTCGGCGGCTCTCTGCTAAGTGATAAATTTTCCGTTTCATTACAAGTAGTTTTTCATTTGTTTTTGTTTTGGAATTATTTTGCACCCAAATCGGATTCGAAGTAGCCTTGGAGTGGATAAAAATCATATGCACGTACTTATTCACATTTAGGCATTCTATCAACAGCATGAATAATTTACTAAGCGCTTCGTTGCATCAGCAGCCCCCAACGCAGATCCAACTCTCTCTCTCTCTCTCTCGCTCTCGTTGGTTCGCTCGCTCGCGCACTCTCTTCAGCTCCTTTTCGCAGCACACATGCTAAACATTTAAAATGCAACCAAATTCAAATGTGCGACTAGCGTTCTCGTTCACAGCCTCTCTCGTTATGTTCATTCACCATGGTTTTTTTCAATTTTTATTTTTTTTTCTCGCATTTTCATTTTCGTTTTTATCTTGCAATTGTGTGAACGTTGTTCATTCAAGTTCGTTAGAGAGAATCGTATGCAAATGTCCAAGGACAATGATAGCGCGGTGCGCACATTGAATCACTAAATGGAACTCTATCTCGAACACTTGAAATGGGATATGAAGAGGGTAGTGTTGTGTGTGTGTGTGTGTGTGTGTGTGTGTGTGTGTGTATGGGAGTGTGAGTGTGAGTGCGAATGTGTATGTATGATTGTTTGGAAGTAGCGACAAAATAGAAAATGAAAATGCAAGAGTGAATAGCAAACAAACGAATGAACAATGCCTCTTAATATATTATCTCTATTTTGCTGTGTGTTCGGCGACAGGTTGGTCTAGTGCACCGGATGAGAAGGCGACCAAATATCGTTTAACCATTAAGGATATTCAGCAACAGGAATCTGGAACATATACTTGTACATCACCACGCGGTCTAACCAACAGCATTGTCATTATTGTCGCAAGTAATTTATACGCGCAAAATTCTTTTCCACATTTCCAATGGGCAATGTTGAGTTCAGTCCGGGCTTGTGTGTCCTTTGTTCGACACACTCGCACGCTCTCCGTCGCACATTAACGGGAATGGGGAATGGGGAATAGAATGAGATCGCGCGAACGCTTGAATGAAAAGCATTTAGAATATTGTATTTTTCGGAAAAAAAGGCCGCGCTTTGCCTGAACGCCTGAACGATTTTGGATTTTAGCGCACTCATTAGTTAGATATCTCTCGTTGGATTTTACATGGCTTCCGTTGTCTAACGCCATTGCAAACAACCACAAAGATTTAATGTACCATTTTATTGCGAATGCCTTCTTTTCTGCCCATATGCACAAGCCATGTACCAATCTCGCTAGCTGCTTGATGTGTACGTGTGTGTGTATGTGTGTGTGTGGAGGCTCTTTGCTAACAGAAATGAAAAGCCATGGAAAATTGAATGCGCGCTGTTCAGTGGCGCGCCGTTAAACGCTGAAACTTGTTATAGAAATATCAAAATTTTAAATGAGTGTGTTAAAAGCAAAGTGATCAACGGGCGTACAGACAGGCAGGCAGGCAGGCATGTATGCATGCAAAAGAGTGTGCATTTTAATAATTATTATTGGCATTTGGTTCGTTTTCTCTTTCATTTTATTTTTCTCGATTTCATCGTTCACACACAGTGTCAACATGTCAAGAACAACCAACTCCTATGCCACCATTAACTTTACAACTCGAAGGACTAAAATTGGGTCAGCGAGCACTGTATTCGTGTCCAGTTGGCTATTCCATTCAAGGCATATCAAATGCAACTTGCTTGGCTTCCGGTAAACATTGTTATTAGTATTATTATTCGCATTTGTCATGCATAACACATGCTCTGGCTCTGGCTCGGGCTCTCTCTCCCTCTATGTGTACACACATAATATTTGATAGTTTCAATCGATGAAATCTATTTAATATGAATGCCAAAGAGCAACTGCTCTGATCCACACGAGAACAAAGCGTATAGTTTAAATATACAAATATGGACTTTCATTTAATTCAATTCAATTTGTATGAATTGTTGTTAGGCAATTGGTCTTCACCGGCACCCACGTGCAATCCAATCCAATGCCCATCACTTTTCCTTGAAGATCCGCACTTAAGTTTAACGGAGCTAAATACATCAGCATGGGGTAAAGCCGTGTTCAAATGTTCATGGGGCTATCGCTTGAGCGGACCACCGAGTTTGGAGTGTGAGGCGAGCGGATCATGGAGCGGTCCAGTACCACGATGCAGAGGTAAGGCATACGAAAGACACATACACACACAGAGTTGATTTAAAAAGTTGTCATGGTCAATTTGACGTTGGCTCCTTTTGTTGAGCACAAGCATAACGATCTAACTGTTGTTGAACCATCTTAATTAGCAATTCAATGTGCTACACCGCTTGTACCAATAAATGGTCGGATCGACGGAACGAGTGTATCAGCCAGCCATCGAAAGTATGCGGTCGGTGCTTTGGTGACATTTAGCTGTAACGAAGGGCATTTGCTCGTCGGTGAAGCCAGTATCGTTTGCACTGAGACCGGATTTTGGTCACATCCTCCACCATTTTGTAAGTAAATGATATTTTTGTTTATTCCGCTTCGATAAAATTTACAAAAAGTGTGAGCAAAATGCAATTTGCATGAACAGAGAGACATAAAAAAACGATCTCTCTCGCTCTCCTCTCCCTATCCATCCCCATCTCCATATCTCTCTGTATAGTAACTAGCACAGTACTAACCATACATTCAATTAAATTTTATTTTGTATGCATATGAAGCCATTTCCATATCGATTTAATTAATCGAAATGATGAACAGAACAGAACGAAATGTGATCGGGTTGTCGACTGTTCTGCTGCTTGCCTGCCAGCTTGAATTTGATATTCGCGCATTTTCGAGTGACGGTGGTGGCGTCGGCGGTGGCGCAGGCAGCAGCGGCTCTAGAAAGTGTATCCATCCATGTTCGTCAGTCCGTAGACGAGAACCTGGCACCAATCGACGAGCCACAGATAAAAAGAGGTAGTGTGTGAGTGTGTGCGTTCGCAAGAAAAAAATCAGCGCATCCATTGAGAGCGAGAATGAATCGCGTGCTCGCGTCCAACACTGTTTGGCGTAAGCATTCCCAGATTTTAAATTATTACCACTCAGGCGTCCGGTACAATTTTTAAGCTCTTTACGGCCATAAAGTTGAATTTTAATGGTCTCTCATAATTTATAATTAATGAAACTTGATGTAATATTCACAAAATTGCCCTGATTCGATTAAATTTAATGCATAAAACATTCGTTAGAACAAAGCGATGTTGGCCAGCCTGGTTTGAATTTCCAAGCTAGTTAATGTAACGAGGCAAACGGCTAAACTTGCGGCTCAAATGTATTTATAATTTCTAAACCGTACGAACGCACACACACGCACACGCACACACTCAGTGGGAGAGAGATAGCGAGAGTGAGAAGATGAGACCGGTGGTGTGGGTTGGCTTTTGGTAGCATTTAGTCTAAGATATCAAAACTGCAATTTACCGTTGAACATTAGTATAATCAGTGATGAAATCGATGAATGTGGTTAATGCAGGTCGTATAATGATGTGTTTACGCTCTCATGTTCTCTCATTATGGTGGATCATTTTCTGGGGGTATCATGTGCAACCAGACATGATTTTTGGCATTCAAACCAAAAATTTCCAATTCTGGCCACCACACACACACACACACACACACACACACACACGATTCATTTGATGTGTGTACAAATATGAAATTTCCCATTTACGATTGAAACTCAGTAACCATGGCATTGTGGGCATCTGATGATTTTGCTCGTGCAATTGTGCATACACAGCTCGCACACACATATACCTACATATATGCGGTTACATTTGATCAGTTTGGTAACTGTTTTCGGTCCGTTTTTGTATGTAATTGATGTGGGAATTCATTATAGTCTACATAAATTTTTATTCACTTTTCACGGAAATCGTGAAGCACACAAACGCACACACGCAACAACAGCGTCGGAAAAAAAATGTGTGGCATTATCAACATCCGATGCCGATCACATGCAATAAACTAACCAATAATGTTGCCATTTGTTCAATAATTGAAGTTTCCATATATAAATATTATACACTTTTTTTCCCAGTTGTTGTTATTGCATGATGAATGGCAAAAAGTTTGCTTTGAAATTATTTTTTGATGGTTTGTTTTCATGATTTTTTCATTTCTCTTCCTCTCACTCTCTCTCGTTCTCTTTTCTCATCTCTCGCTCCCCATTTCCAAACATCTCGAAGGCAAAAGTCAATGTCCATATCCGGGGGATCCACCAAATGGTTTGATAGCACCGCTCAAGTTCCACTATGATCCTGGCGATTATTTGAGCGTGCAATGCCGACCTGGTTTTGTTGAATACGGTACAAATACGAATGGACCACCTGAACGACCGAGGTAAGTTTGATCGATTGAAGGCGAAAAACAAATTAAAAAAAAATCCACGCAACGCAATTTCTGTTAACAACAACACAAACATGTTTGCGATTCCGTTTTTTTCTCTCCCTGCAGATGTTTACCGGATGGCAATTGGTCGGGACCGGTGCCCCAATGCCGTAACTACGAAGAAGTTTGAACTAAATGAATCCCTCTGCAACAAAAAAAACTTTATTGCAATACAGTTTCCATTTCCAATTTCCTCTTACATTTACAACTTTACACAAAAAAAAATTCCCTCTTGTTTATACTAATTAACAGAAGAAAAAAAAACATATATTTAAAAAAAATATTCTAATTATATCAATTGCAAAAAAAAAATTACCAAAAAAAAAACATAATATTTGTTGGTAAACATTTAGCTGCAGCGGCAACAACAAAAAATCAAATACAAAAAAATGTCCCCATAGTTGGATTTGTTTGATTCTCCACACACAACAACAACACTTTATTCCGTTTGCATTCCAATTTACTAACTGTATATATAGAAGCAGAGCCGTAGCCACGGGGGTGCGAAAGGGCGCCGAGCGCCCTCTAACGATTCACAAGCGCCTTTCCCTATTTGAAGAACGCTTCAAAATATATGTACGTTCAGAAATATTCCTCGAATTGTATCAAAGTTTTGACATTAAGCGGGAAAATATTATTTGACGAAAAAAACACAATGGTAGCAATCAAATCTTTGAAAACTAAGTGAAGCCAATAGTTTGAAAAAGGAAACGATGGCAATTTTAAATGAATTTTCTGTCCGTTTGAATCGATTGTAGTATTGTCGCGCCATTAGCAATGTTAATTTGTATATGAATCGTTTGTTTCAAGTTCTGCCGTTTTAGTTGTCATAACTGTTGTTTTTGCGAGCGCCCATGAGCGCCCCGGACGTTCCGAACTGGCTACGGCCTTGTATAGAAGATGGATTATCAAATCAAAGTATTAATTTTAATACAGTTTAAGCATATCAAATGATGAACAAAATCAAATTCACCGTGTCTGCAGTGGAGAGTGAAAATAAAATAAAAGACAACATAAAAGAGGAATAAACAGCAGCAGCAGCAGCAGCAGTAACAATAATAAAAAAGAGGAGAAAATTTATCAAAATGTTTGGCTGAAGTGCGTTTGCCCACTGCATGCGAGAGAGAAAATGTGTGCAAACGAATTAGAAACACAGAACAAAAATATAGATTTACAAAGAATAGAGACCATCTATTATGTATTGTACAGAAGTGCATGAGCAATATGTTTTTTTCCCTTGACATTTATCGATTTGATCATGGCAATTATTAGTTTTAAAAAGTTCAATGAAACCAATTAACAATCTTATATAATATTCACTGTTCAATCAAACCAAGAAAGAGAAAAATTGAGAAATTTTGATGAAGAGTATTTTCGAAGGGTTGAGAGTCATTTGTTGAGCAATTTTCCAGAGCGAAACTATTGTGTTTCGCACACTAGAACCCAGGCCAAATGGCAAGAATAAAAAAAATGAAACACACAATTCCATTTTCGTTTTTGCGTTCATTTAATGGCAACAAGTAATGTAACACGTGTAATGATTTTTAGTGGCAATAAAATACTGAAGTTTCAAGAACAAACCAAATAACCGTGTTTCACTTGGCGTTTTATTAAATTCACCCCGCTGAATGCATTGTGTGACAACGGCGATGACATCGCCAACGACACACAATGGAGTTTTTTTTCTTCTTCTTTTCATTTTCTTCTTCTCGTTCAAGCATCACCATCATCATCGTCGTCGTCGTCATCGTCGACGATAGTTTTGTGCTCGTTGTGTGTATGCAAGAGTGTGACAAAAGCCAAGCGAGAAAAATGCCAGCCAGCACATGCAAATAATTGTCTAAAATGAGCACTGATTTTTTTTTCGGTCTCTCCTTCTCTCTTCTCTCTTTCTCTCTCGCACGAAGAAACAAAAAGGTGAGTAAGGAGCCGGAGAAAAATGCAGATATAAAATCATACGATGCCAGGCAGCTAATAATTGCATTGACTAAATATATAGTGAGACACACACAGAGAGAAAGAGTGAGTGTGTAACGGAACATTGTGTCTACGTCGTACACAACACAATGTTTAATGCTCATGCATAATAAGAAATGGCAACAACAAACATCGTCACCACTTCACGTCGAAGAGTTGCACACATAAAATATTCAGCCGCACTGCAGAGTATTTCTCATTCAGTGTTTGTCATTCGTGTATTGAAGTGTGTTTTAAATAAATTAGCTCAACATTTTGTCACTCATTTCAACGAGACGTACGGCAACTTTGTTGAAATTCGCTTCCGCACAACTTTCAATTTAATTTCGTGTGTTGGCATTCGGTCGATTTTATATGTGTGCATAGGAATTTTGTGTTAGAATAGAAAAAAATAAAATAAAACCGAAAACCAAATAAGTATGGCTTGTGATATAATTACCGAGAATCTAATCAAAGGAATTATTGTGACCCATTCGCGTACCGGCATAACTTTGCAGCAGATTTCAAGTGTGTATCACCTTTGCCTTCGGCAATAAATTCATAAATTATATCCATAATTTGGCATTTTTCACATTCTTCCACAAAAAATGCAACGCTCACACACAAATTCCCCTTGAAATTTCATTTTTCTTTTCTCCCACGCATAGATATTTATTATGAATGTGTCGGCGAACGCTGGTCGTTGCTAAAAGGCGGTGAAGAGCACGCGATTCGATACTTGGACCAAATTGAAGGTATTTTATCGATTGTTAATGAAAAACACGAAACGGTCTGGTATGTGCGTGGCAAAACGTTTCATGGCGAAAAGTGTGGCCAAATTTATCGTGCAAACAGTCAGACAAAGTCGGATTTTGATTTATCAACCAATCCACATGGCAATGGTCGCAACACGTGTAACCAGTACAGTAACAACAACAACGGCAACAACAACAATTTCCGTAATGCTCGTTACACTACCACCAAAAACAGTAGCAACAACAACAACAACAACAACAAGGGTAAAGTCGACCGTAAAAATAACGTATACAATGGTGATATCAATGGAAACTACGATTCACGAAAACAGTTAGTATTGCGAATAGAAAATTTCAGTTCTCTAGTCATTCTCTCACTCACTCCTTGTTTTATTTTTTATTTTTTCTTCGTTTTTCTTCATTTCGTTTCAATTGTTTTGAAATTGGCCAATCAATTGTTGCTCAATTGCCTGGCTGCTTCTTTTTTGTCTGATGGCGATTCGTGAATGCACACAGATCGAAATACAATACGAACAATCGAATGCGCGTCAATGGGCACAGTTCAGGTTCGTCAATCAACAATGACAGCGGTGGTAGCGGCTACAGCAGCAGTTCGAGCAATGAACAAAAGACTAGCGCATCAATGTATGGCTATGATTTGGTCGGCGATGATTTTTTCATGGAAATGGCAAAAATCGATTTGGGATGCTCTATCACGAATCGTAAGCCACGCATGTGATTTTTGTGTTTGGATAGATTTGATGATGAAATTGATGCCATTTTTTTTTCTCGGTTGTTGTTTATTTCTAAAACAAGGCAAACATTTACAGCGAAGCGGTCTGTGCATCTCCGGACAGCGTATACGCGATGCAACGGAACGCCTCAAACGATTTCCAAACACAGATAACATGAAAATCATCGCTAATCTCGGCACAGTTGATATTTTGCATGGACGCGACCTCACTGACATGTGTCAGGATTACATAGATTTAGTGAAAATCTGCGCGCATCGCCGAATACAAATCGTTATCACAACATTGGCTCCAATCGGCAATCGCTTGCATCTGCCAGAAGACGTCAAAAAATTTAATGATTTCAATGGGTTTCTCCTGACAAAATTTGGCATTAAACATCAGGTCATCAACATCACCGCATGTATGGTGAACGAAAAAACCGGCAAAGTGTGGTTCGATACATGCTATCAACCGTAAGTAGCAAAATGCACGAAACTGATCCAAAATGAATGGATTTAACCCGTTTGATTTTGATTTCACAGAACCCCAAAGTACGTTTCCGGTTCCGATAAACCGCATTTATTGTGGAATCGCATTGGTCGCCAGCGTATTTATAAAGCGATCAAAGCACGCTTGCGTTTTTAAGCAAACACGTAAGCTGCCCAATTCCGAATGACACACTGATTCCTCTTTTTTTTATTTATTTGTTCATTCATTGTCACCGCCGAACACTGGCTGAATATTTAGCTTTAAGTTGATATTTCACATTTTTATAAAATCATTTACTATTTTATAACTTCATTTTTATGCTAACTACAGACAAAAATAACCAAAAGCGATAAATTTCTAGTATAGCATTAAGGGTACATACACAGCAACCAAGTCGATGCAAGTCGTTTAGCTCAAAAATTTATATCATCTTTGTCTCATTGTAAAATTATAACAAACCAGAATGCCCGCTGTGGAAATGCTTGAATACGATGTAAAACTTTTCTTCGATTTATTTTCTAACGCGTTAAATGAATCGAATGAAGATTTTTGCCGTCGTCATTCACACCGACATTTGTGAAGCTTAACGCTCCCAATGGCCTTTCTTTTTGTAAACGTGTAGTAAGGCCATTTTGGACCGTTTGCAATTCGGTCGGTTTTTATCAAGTCATTTCCATATTGGCTATTTTCATTTTAAAACAAATTGTTTGGATCAGAAAAAATGTTTATATCAATCACAAAAGAAATTCATTGCAATTTTTCCCCCACTTCGAAGAAGAAAAAAAGAAGTAAATTGTACATTAAAAAATTCGTCGACGAGATTTTTAACGTGAATCTCTTCTTGATTTAAATCTGTTAATGTTGTAAAAATTGTTCCTTCTGGAATTGGATTTCATTGATCGATTCCAATTCCAAAACGAAAAAGACTCAAACAAACAGATTTAAATCGACGATAGACCACGTTGGTTTTGCAAGTATTTCAATCATTTGTGTACACACTTTTACAAACGATTCAAATATTTCCAAAATGCATTCATTACCGGTAATGAGTTAAGATTTTTCAGCCTAATTTGATTGTTATTATTACTTATTTCTCTTATTAAAAATTATATGAATAAAAAGTTGAAAAAAGTCTGATCAAAAAAAAGTCAACATGAGTCGTGGTTTTATTTCAAATGTTGTTGTAGTTCATTTTGAAGCATTGAACGCACTTTCCGCATTTGACAAAAACTGTCAAATGATTTTGTACACATGTGAATATTTGAGAGAAACCAAAACAAACACACCGCTCAATTGCTTGCGGATCCGTTGTGCAGCGATGAATTACAGAAATTTGGTAAATTTTTGCTGGAATTTAATTGAAAATTGTTCATTTTTTGCTCACGTTTTAAAGAGTTTTTCCATTCATTTCTTTAGCAAACAGAATTCAGGTCTCTTGGTTGTAGTGATGAAGCACAGTCAATAGCCGCCTGTCAGCTTTACATCGAATTATGTGAAGGTATGCGAATAAGTTGCCGAACTCTTGTTCATTTTAAACCAAATTTTTTTTATTTTTCATACATTCGTTTTGTACCCTTTGCAGTGCGACGAAAATTGAATGTAAAATACTACTACAATGCTGAGATTAACAAGATATACCTGACTGCAACGAATGAAGTCGGTGCGATAGAAAGTGTGTATTTGCCCATTCCGACCAGTGCAACGGTGGATCTAACAGCGAATGAACCGATTTTCAAGGCATTGTTTGCAGCACACGTGCATGAAATCAGTGATCCAGAGACGGTGCAATTGATTTTTGCCTTTGTCGATCCCACCACCACAATTGCCTACTATAAACTAACCCTTGGAATGCTCAGTCTCAATGCAATGAAAATTAAAAGACGATCAAAAATACCCAAGGATGAACCGCAAACAACAGCCAGTTGACAAATAAAACACAAATTCGTTTTGGAAGTCAATTCAAATGTATTTTTATTGTTCAATTTTTTTTTTGTAGTTATCATTTGTAACTCTTTCAAAGTAAAATATATGTAATCAATTAAAATTTAAATTACTTAACAAATCCATAGACAATTTCACTTTCGTTTCATACACGTTGAGAGGTCGTGTGTGTGTGTGTGTGTGTGTGTTCTGCTTATATTTTCTTTTCTTTTCGTGTGAAACGTATTTGTATTATTTTATTTTGTGAAAATCAGTTTCAAAATTGAGTTCACTGCCTGATCTAATATGTAAAACAATGTTTAAATGTGGAAGATGTAAAAAGTGGCCAAAAACTTAATTCGAAGAAGACGACAGAAAAACAAAGTGTTTGAAGAAAAAAAACGATGAAATCGTATCCATTGATCAAATGCCTACATAAATAAGAGCAAATATTTCAAATAATTTTTTTTCCTCTTTTTTTTCTCGAATAGAATTAATTTAGAACAATGAATTTCAAAGAAAAGAACAACAATTCCTTAATTTTGTAGCATAATTTTTGTTGCTGGCGATACATTTCGGAGGAAGCTTTCAATTACGTCGTTACAGTAAGTCTAAGAAGTATTTTGTTTTGTTTCCATATCCATCTTTACTTTCTTTTCAACTATCTTAACAATAAATTGGGCAAAAAATATACTCTTATTTCCTATTATTTATCTTCTTTATTTTTTTGTTGTTGTTTTAAATCTTATTAAATTTACTAGAGCAAAAAAATGTTCTTTTTTTCATATGTTTTGACATTTTATTGTCTACTAAATGTAGCACGCATTCGTATATGATTTGTTGCTTCTTCTTTTTTTTTGCTAAAGTGTTTTCTTCAATGAGTAACTAACGTTTGAAAAAAAACATGTGTGTATGTGTTTAATGAGTTGATAATTTGAATTTTTTTTTGTTAAATAAAAGACACATCGCAATTCAGCTCAAGAATCAATATCTCATAATTAACATTGTTTCCATCTGATAAATAGTATAATTTCGAGAGACAACAAAAAAAAACAATCTTTACAATTGGATGGTCAAATAAACATGCAATACAGACGCTTCGAAGCCATTTTCTTTTCAATTACTACGTGCTTTTTTCGCTGCTTTCAAACGACAACAGAAAGGAAAAAATCAAACACACAACAAAAATCACAAAAACCATTTTCTAAGTGTTTCGGCTCTAAATTTTGATTGGTATATCAATTAAAAAATATGTTCTTCTTCTTCATCTTCTTTTTTTTCTCGCATTCACAATAATTATTTCGCATCAATTCCATTTCGCATTTAGATTATAGCACTAAAACCTATCGTTGCTGCTCTAAATTTGCTGCCTGCATACGTGGGTGTGTGTATGTGTATGTCGACGCCACTGCGCCAAATTTCAATCTCACTCAACTCAAAACGCGCGTGTGTCTGATTTTTTTTTTCAACTTGTTTGTTTAGATTTTTACGAAAAATATTTCTCATATAAATATATTAAATGTTTCATGAAATTAACATAATCTCCCGCCATACCCTATCTTTATACCATCGTCTTCAAATCAATCAGTCGTTCGTCAGTCATATCAATTTGTAATTGACAACTGATTGAAAACCGTGCAACGATTGTCTCTCTCACTCGCTCTGTCAATCTGTCTTATCTCTTGCTTGCTTGCTTTTCCCCCTTCTTCGACATTTGAAACCATTCCGAGCTACCCCATTCATTCGTATATTCAAAATAAATACTAATTTTATCTAAATGTTAGTTTCAACACCAATCGGCCGTGTAAGTAAACTCTTTGAAGTATGCCTGTTCCTCGTCCGTCATGTGACGCGGCTCCTTTGGCGGCGTTAGGTGTGGCTTCTCTGATGTAAACTCTTCGTCGAAGTTTGAAACATCTTCCATGTGTCGCTGTGGATGGAAGAAATAGACGGGTTTGTATTGACACATTGCATTTTCGTTTTGAATTCTTATCAAAATCAATAAAAAAAAAATGTCTGGGTTTCAAAATGAAATTCTCCACTTTGATATGGATCAGTCACACTTACAATAGTTGGTACGAATGGTGGTTTAACTTTTCTAAGTAGCAAATCGTCCCATAGAATGTGCCTGAAGAAGGCCTGTTTCTTCACATCTTCTGCATCACGCTCAGATGAACCAAGTCTTCGTTCTGGATTTTTACGGAGTAACTGTAAACGAAAATAATTTTTACTTCAACGTTTTTCTTCAACTCATAAATTCAATCGTGACAATTGTTACTCACTCGACGCATAATTGCAATGGCTTCTAATGACAAGAATCGTGGATAACGAACTTCGTCATTAACAATTGAATCGAAGACTTCTTCCTCATCATCTCCGGGGAATGGTGACTAAAATCGCATGTAAACACATTTCAATTTAGACAATTTCATTTGATTTGCATACCGAATAAGATTAAATCGAGTATATTTCAATGTTGAGCAACAGAAGTTCAGTTGCAATGTGAATTTCATCATTCAACACTTTCCATGAACGAATAGAATCGGTTGAAAATTCTTAGCACTCAAAGAAATGAACTGTTCAGCATGTTCTGAAAATGAAAATGCTTACCTCTCCAACAAGCATTTCGAATATAAGTACGCCAAGACCCCACCAGTCGACCGCCCGTGTATAAGATGTTTCGGTGAGCACTGTATGCAGTGGAAAAATAAATTGAACATTACCAATTAATTAGCCCGAAAAAGTTTTTCTTGCGAAATAATCGCAAGGGCTGAGATTTCGCTCTGTATATCTCAGCGAAAGAGGGAAATGTGGGGATACAAACCTTCTGGTGCCAAAAATTCAGGTGTACCGCAGAATGTGCCCGTTCGATCGCCGTAGCCCATGCCCTCTTTGCACAGACCAAAATCGGCAATTTTCACATAACCTTCGGTATCCAACAGCAAATTATCAAGCTTCAAATCACGGTAGATAATTTTACTTTCATGCAAGTATTGAAGACCGAGCACAACGCACGCTGCATAAAACACGGCACGAGGTTCGTTAAACACATCGGTATGAATGTGCATCATTAAATCGCCACCGGCTGCATACTCCATGACGAAACACACATGTTGCTGTTTGCGAAATGTACAAGAGATTTCGTTAGTAATTTGAAGCTTTAATTTTTCGTTTTGTGTTCAAAAGGCTAAATTAGCAATTGGCATTCGATGCGGGTCGTATGAGAATTTACCTCGGTTTGGAAGCATGCAAACAAATTGACTAAGAATGGATGACGCATTGTGTTGGCCACTTCGAAAATGCGCTTTTCACTGAGCAACGATTCAACTTCGTCTCGAACAATGATATCGCCCTTTTTAAGTGCTTTAATTGCAAAATATTCGCCTGAAACAGGAAAATTTCCATAAATCAAATGCACATTCGATCGAAATAATCGAATCGAAATTGGTTGGGATTTGGGTGTTTTTGCGAATTGCCTACCAGTTTTTTTGTATTGTGACAGTATAACTTTGCCGAAATGACCTCTGCCCAGAACGCTAAGCAATCGAAATTGGTCAATGGTGAAACCAATGAGTTGTACGGTCGGTAGCTGTTGGCGTTGCTGTTGCTGTTGCTGCTGCTGTATTTCGAATGAATTGTCTTTGTCTTTGTATTGTAGATTACGTGCGACTTGTGGACGCCGATTTTGTGTGGTGGCTGCCGTTTGGCTTGGAATCGTTGCCGGAATATCGGCTGCGGTTGGCAACTGTGGATACAACTGCTGTACCGCATTGTATTGTGGTGTCGTTGGTTGCTGCACTATCGGTGGCTGTGACACATATTGAGCATTATTATTTACGTTCAAATTTTCAAACGGTTGAACGATCTAATGGGAAATGAGAGAATGATTCAAGTAGAAAAAATTTCTATGAAATTTATGAAATTCACTTTGTACTGTATTGGGAAAAAAAGGCACACTCAACGAAAACAAACAGAAAAATACAAACGAATTTATTGAAAACGAAGTGAATTCATGAATAAAAACGATTTTTTTGTTGTTGAAAAAAAAAATATTTATCGCCCTCAAACCTCGTTCGTGTGTATTTCATACTCGACTGTCACATTCAGATGGGGTAGTGCATTTGCATGCACTCCATACATTCACCCTTCATTTCGAATGCGATATTCAAATACAATAAAGCACAACAAATTGGTTTCTATACTACACATTACACAATCACCAAAGAACTTTTGCTTCGTTCTGTGTACGGTACACAAACGCTCTCTCGCCTTGCGTACGAGACGAATTTTCAGAAAAAATAAACGAATTGAAGAAAAGTTCTTGATGGGTTTTCCATATTGGTCTACTTAAGTACATGTTTGTTGCAGATTTTCGGAAATCTTTTAACCATTTCATTCGGTACCTTGTGGTTTTGTCCAAGCCAAAATACTTTAAATTGAAATAATTTAATGAATTTTATACACATTGCAAGATTTAACATATTCTGCATTGTTTTCCATTGAAAATGTTTGCCCGTAAATTCTATAATATACCAAGTATAATCCTAATATGCATACTTCAGCACGGGTGCTATTTCCATTTCGTTGAATATGATGGAAGTAATATCTACAAGGAGCGTTTGAGAGACAGAAAAAAAACACAATCTCCTTATGCACTCACGATAACAATAACTATGGAACAATCAAAAGTCTATATAGTCATGATAGTATTTGCTGTGTACACTAAGTTTTTTTTTTTTCTATTTTGGTTTTATAAAACGATAACAACTATAAGAATGCTTCGTCGATATGGAATTTAATGCAACGCTCTGAAGTATGCCTATTTAAATATACTTTGATGTTGGATTATATATATCTTTTCACATATGCGAAAAATTCCCAACTATTCCAAGTTGGTGGTTAAAAGATTTCTTTTCTCCTCTCTGCCGGCATCTCCTCTGTTCTCGTCTCATCACTTCGTTTGAAGTGATGAGAAGAGTCTCTTGAAAAACACTTTTATTTAGTTGGAATTAATTCAAATTGTGTATACGTATCCAGCACCATATATGAGAACAATCTCATCCCTTCACAACAGAATACAGTTAACTACATTTAGATGTTGTGTGTTTTGTGTGTGTGTCTGTGTATGTGATAAACACGCTACAAACTCAAGGGTTATATCACATTTCTACGGATTATATTCGGACTTCAAAAACACAAGGGTTATCATTTCGGTTTATGATTTAGACAATTGTCGAGGTTAGTGAGAAAAAAGAAACTAAAAGAAACAAACAACACATGAACTAGTATCGATTGATTTGATTTGAAGTGTGACGTTCAAGTCTTGCGTCGATGAATAAGGGTTTTTTTTCCGGTTGTTGTTTTCATCCGACTGAAGAAGCAAATTCCCCACTAATTAAAAATCGATTGCACTTCCACTTCACTCAGGAAGTACGTGAAAAATAAGCAAAAACAGGTAGAAAAAGCCATTGCGAAGAGTAAATGGTTGTGAAATGGGTTATATAGTACGCTTGCATTGTGAATTCTTCAGCAGAAAAATTAAAAGCAAATTAGGGAATAAAGCAAAAAATAAATTCATCGCAGAAACAGAGCCAATGATTCAAACGGAAATCGAACAAAGCAAAAAGAAAAAACAGAAACATAAAAGTAATTTAAGTGAAAGAAAAAAAGCAATCAGAACTAGAAAAAAATAGTGCATCAAAGATAAAAAAAAAATAATAGCAAAAAAAGAACTAAAAAACGATAAATTAGAAAATGGCAAAATAAAACAAAAAGAAAGAAAATTATGAAATCGGTTCTGACCTCGACGATATTATGCACGTCTATAATTTTAACATCATCGACTTCATCGTCCGGAAATTCGACATACGACATCAATGTGTTTGGAGCGGGCGATGGAGGCATTTCAACAATTGGACTTGGCATTGATATATGCAATGGGCCACACGAGTTACGATTTCGACTGGTTATATAGCATTGGCTATTATCTCCTCCCATTAGAACAACCGGTGGCAACGATAATACTGGACGATGATACACTTCAGACGAGAATAGGATTTGAGGTCGTTGCTGCGGAATCGGCGGTGTTGTCGGGATAATCGTTTGCGGAGCGCGCTGTTCGTAGATTATAACATATAGAAGAATGTGTGACCGTTTGAATTTTTCTTGTTGTTGTTATATTGTGTGAATTTGTCGTGAATTATTTATTGTTCGGTTTTTTTTATATTGAGTGATTGTTTTTTTTTTCTATGTTTGTCTATTTTATTTTTCATCTCAATCTAGGACATATTTTTGCTTCGAAATAGACATACAGAACATGTGAATTTTGTTCGGTCAAATGAAATCACGTAATTTGAATGCATCATATTGAGAGAGACGTACAATGAAACATTGATGATCTTCGAATATTTGAACGTGAATGAATAATGCGGGAAAAAAAATGAATGATTCCTTCTACGTTGTGTCTAATGTGAAATCATAAAAAATTGATGTGTTTCAAGCGATAGGAATGGTAAATGACCTTTTTGATCATCCAAATCGATATGCTCATTTTGTGGAGTCATTAGTATCTATTTTCTGCTGGGTAAATGGTGAAATTGTGTCGAAAAACGATTTTTTTTTTGTTTTAATCAAAACATCACAGATTAATTAGAGTAAAAAAAGTAATACCTTTAAACACCATTTAAAAAAATTGTGTGCAGTGTTTTTTTCCTTCTTTTCGTAGTTTTTTTGTAAAATCCTATCTAAAATGCCAAAACCATACTCGAAAACAAACAAAACCCTTTACAGTGTTTGCGGTAAATTGGACGTATTTACAAAAATTAAATGTGCGGACAAGATAGGTGTGTATAAAAAGGGGAGTAGAGGGTTGGTAAGAAGAAATGTAATATATGTGTGTATGTGTTGTGCTGTTTAAAACACTATTCCGTGTACTGGACTTTATGTGTGTTCAGTATATGTATATGAATTGCACAAAATATCTAACCTCTTGATCGGCTTTCAATATGGGTGGTGATGATTGTGGAGGTGAAGGCATCGGAGGTTTGATTTGTCTAAAACTACTAGCTGCTGCTGCCGCCGCCTGTGCTGCTAAATGTGCTGGTTTCGGTGGCAAAACATTGTTATTTGGACTTGGTTTGTGTTGCGGTGGCTGTGGCGGTGCAACCTGTGGACTGTCTGGCGGTAGGGCGGTTACACCATGCATACCTGTTAACGAAGGAAATGCATGAAATTAATCAATACACATAGCAAAATCATAAGCGATACATTTTCGAAGACAAATTTATTGCATCATCTTACCCAATGGTCTTGCCCCGCTTAAACCGGCAATGTTAATATCTGGATCTTCACCGACGGTGAACACCGGCTCAATATCATCTGGTGATGTCTCGAAAACTAATTGTAATGGTTGCACCGTTGATGCGGTCGTTTCAGTTGGTGTCGATGCCGAGCTAACGGTCGACATTTGTGATGGCTCATTGCCACGCTGTTGACTTTGTATCGATGGTGTGTTCCGTTTTAAAAGTCGACCCCATGTGGCAACATTGATATTCATTTGCTTTGCACGTGGCATATTTTTCACTTGTGTCTTATTGAAAATCATACGTTGCCGTTGTAATTTTGGTTTTCGTGAGATCATTGGATTCAAGAATTTAATTTCAGCGAACAGCAAACCTTTTGGCTCCAGCTGCAATGCCATCCCATGTCGAATGTCATCGATGAATTCTTCGAGGCGCAAAAATTTCACGGCGCACAATGAACGCCAATCACGCCAATAGATGCCAATTTCCAATTCACGTGATCGATCTAAATCGATGGAGAAACGTTGATCCCAAGCCTGTTGCGAGCATGGTTTCCACGATGTCTGCGCCACCGTTATATTATCCAATTTTATGACGGCCATGATTTCCGACGATGTTTCATCTTTGACACTGTAACTTTTCGATGAACTGCGACTGGTTACACCCTTTACAAAGCTTCGCAAGTCACCGGGACTCGAACTATTGTCTTTGTCGCGACGCGAACGGCCAGGTACTTCTTCCAAAAGATCTTGACAACCCATCAGTCTTACTTCAAGTTTGCCAGTGATCGATGCACATCGGCCCATCGTTGATACACTCGGACAATGCTTGCCCTCGATACCAACACGAAACGGTTGCAACGATGTAAATGCAGCCGGTACGGGGCTTGACGCCTGCACATGCTGTAGCTCACGTTTTAGCTGCTGGCCAACCGTTGAATCCGGTGGGAAATCTTGACGTCGCATTTCCAACGCATATCGTAACAAATCCAACTTTCGTGACGATTCAGATAATCGTTCTTGAGCCTATTTTCAATGACATTTTGAGACGAGAGAGAGAGAAAAAAAAAACAAAAATTAAATTATAATTCTGAAGCAGAAAAAAATGATAAAATAAATACAAACTGCCATCGTCTGCCAGAGAGCGAGCCAATCGTTGAAAAAAATTATGTGAAAAATTAAACAAGGCAAGAAAAAAAAAATCAAAAATTGTTGTGTTGCGTAATCATTTCGGCTTTATTGAATAAATAAATAAAAAATTAATAAAAATACACGACATCGACTTGCGAATTAAATTTAAATTGCGTACAGATTTTATTTCGTTCTCTTCTTTTTTTTCTACCATCACATTTAATGTTTCAAGTCAATGTAGACTGAATTTTGAATTTTTTTTCTTCGAAACAACATCGATTAAATGCAACTACTGTCATAATGACGGTGAAAAGTGATTTATTTTGGGATTTTTCAATTTTTAATAATTGCGTGTATAACGACGATTCGGCAAACCGCCAATAAAAGTAATGTCAAGCGATGAGGCTCGTTCGCGGAAATGGTCGCTACGTTCAGCAAACCATCGTCGACAATATTCACATTTACAGTCAGGATTCTTCGCTGGTCCAACATGATGGCCGGGTTTTCGGATCGTTTCAATGACGGATCCGAATTTTTGTGCCCTCAACAGATGTTGACGTGTGTAGCCTGGAATCATGGCAGGTGATTTACGTTTTTCATTGTGTGGCTCAAAGTCACTCCTAAGCCAAAATGTGGCTGGCCTTGCCATTCGTTCCTGAATATTTATCACCGGCAGCTCCATGCTTTTGCCACGGCCGAACATAGGTCTTGATCGTGTGCCAACATCAAATGCCTCAATTTGCGGTGCCGGTTCATTGGAAAAAAATTCCGGAAATGTATTTGGATGTTGGTTAACATTGTCAACTTGTTCAACATTTTGATACTGATCTTGATTAATTTCATATGTTGGCACATTTTCGTGGTCATGATTTGAATCGTCTGCCAATTCTTTTTCTTCAATTGAATCATGCATAATGGATGAGCTGAACATCCTCCATCGTTTCTCCTTCTCTTTCCATGCGTCTTCCATTTGCCGGATGCGCCATCGATCGGAGCGATTGTCATAGTCAAAACTGTCCGACGGGCAAATGCTGGAGCCTTTCGTACTGTTATCCATGTCCGTTTCTTTCCACGATGACTCCAGATCATCGGGAACGGCAGAGCTTGAGGCAGCCATCACACTTGAGATGCTGCTGCAGGTCAAGTCGCGAACCGTAGAATGTGAAGAATTCGGATAATTTGAACTGATACAATCGTCACTTTGCTCACGATGCAAATTGAAGCGATTCCTTGAATTGGAGAATCGTGACGGTTTCGCAATGCTTTGGCCACCAACGTGTTTCTCAAACAGCATTTGCTTCGATTCAGTCACTTCATCTCTTGAGTCGCATTGAGCGAGTAAATAGTCTCGTAAATTGCTATAGCTTGCATTCTGCATGTAGTCATGTTGATTGGATGCCACGATTCGACGCGGCAAACCTTGCGTGTCATTAACACGCGTGTGATGCAGCTTCAATTGATTGGAATCGTAAACGGTTTGTGGCGTTGAATTTGATTCCAATTCAACAACGTTTGGTTCTTCGATTGAGTTTGAGCTACTGCTGCTGTCACTTGAACAGCTGTCCTCAGCATCCGAACCAGTGCAGTACACATCAATGTGTACGGTTCGTGACGGTTTTTTAGCCACTGGTTTTGTTCCAGACGATGATGGCGGCGAAAATACGGGTGGCGTTGCTAAATTACTGCTAGACGGAGGAGAACCCTACAGAGAGGGAAGAGAAAACGCACGAAATCACTTGTGATATAGACCATTTACAAAAGCGTATCATTTACCCTGGTTAAATTTCTCTCTTTGCTATGTTTTGTGTGTTGTTGTGGGTGTAGTGTTTCTTGTGAATTATATGTTGAATCCGGTGCCGAATACTTTTTCGATTCGATGTCGCTCGTTTGCGAGAATGCATCCCTCACCGACAGAATGTTTGCTTTCGATAAATTACTCTGAACCGAATGATGCTAAAGCGATAAAAGTCGGGTTTGGTTTTATCATTTACGTTCGATTTGGAATAAGAAACAAATTAGAGTGACGTTGCCGCTTTGATCTCACCTCGTTGTCTGGGAATAGTGTGTAATATGTTGTGGGAAAACTTTCGGCGATTTCGTTTTGTTCAGGAATAATATTGGTGCATGCCGTCAGAATGATATTGCATGTGCTGTGATATTTTGAATTGTCAATTTGATTGGATGTACTGGTCGTTGTTGTTCCGATGCCCGAATCAGATGATGTTACACCGGTTGACCGGAAACTGCCACTGTCTTTGCTCGACAAATTCGACGCATTTGGTGCACTCAGCACCGTTTCCACCACGGAAGATGCATCGCCTGTGTTCGCATCACTTGACGACCATTTATAAATCACTTTAATCGGATTTTCATTGTCAAAATGCCGTTCGATTCCTTGCGGTCGTTCAATGGAATAGGTTGTATCTTGTTGCTGATTCTGGACATTTGCTCTCAATGTGTCTGGCCGACAAATGGTTAACTGTGCACGAACTATCCATTCAGCTGTAATTTTTGGAGGACTTGTCATTTTATCCCTCTCTTCTTTACTCTTTTCACCTTTTTTTGATTTTCACTATCGTCGACTAGCTTCGTATTTCGTTCGAGATTATAAAATGATATTCATTTTCGATATCAATTTTATTTTCACCTCTGCTATGCTTCGTAATTTTATTCGTGCGTCCACAGAAAATTCCTTTTCCTGACGCGCTTGTCTCACACCGATGAAATAAGATTGGTTGTTTTTTCTGGCTATTTATTTACATAAAAAACTGTCTATTTTGGTATATTGACGCTGACCACACCGCTGCTATTGCCTGCTATTGCTGTTGCTTAGTTTGACACGTCACGATTTGATTCCATTGAGTTCTTCTTCTTCTTCGTCTCTATCTCTCTCTCTCTCTCTCTCTCTCTCTCTCTCTCTCTCTCCCTCTCTATTTTTCACTTATTTCATCGGTATAGTTCAATTTCAAATTTTTAATTTGATCACATTTCAATTCAATTTGCCCATACACACGGTCACCGAAACACACACAAATGGATTATTACGAAACATTGAAAATTGCCGTGGGTCAAACAACGATCCGACTTCTGTTTATCTCGACGTATAAATTTGTAGCGAATGCTTTGGTCAATGATCAATTCAATTGGATTGTGTTCCGTCTCTCGTTTTGATACGACAAGCGCACGGGCTTTATTTTATTCGACTGAAAAGTACGACGCAGAAGTGATTTCACGCGACTTTAACATGAATTTTATTTGAAATGCCGTATGAATTTCCACAGCTTCGCCAAGGAAAATCATCACATATTGGCTTCGTTTTCTGTATCTTTTTTTTCTCGTCGTTCCTCTTCACTTCTTTTCGCGTTCACACACTCGTTTCCCGTTGCTTCCTAAACGTCGTCGTACACACGGTTTCAATTTCGGAAATTTCATATTTTGTGCTGGTCGTCGCATGCGCGAGTTCCAACCGAAAATCAACAGAAAAAAAAAAATTACGCCGTCCTATACTTTTTCTTTGGTGTGTGTGTGTGTGTGTAATTTCGGTAAGAGTTGTCGGTGCGAGAGAAGAGAGCCCTATAGAATTTCAGTGGATCGCCTGCAAACGACACATGCGCACACCTCTTAAACACGCACACACAAAACAACAACACGATTCATTCTCAGTAACTCAATGCGCAATCAACCATATGCGAAAATTATTTACAAATGTGATTTATTAATAGAACTCTCTTTGAAAAATACCTTTGGGCTATGAACACGATATACTTTCCATCCTCTTTCCAACCGTACACACTATATCTATCATATTAATTCGAGTGAGACTCTCTCCCTCTCTCTATCGCTCTCATCGACGTCGGAGCCGGCTCACTTTCCTCACATGATGCACAAGGTAAATCTATATACATGATCAGTGCAACATCATATGTTGCTCATTGAACGCGTGAGCAAAGAACCTTCCCCATTTTAAAAGTTTTTCTACACAATTTTTTACACACCGTCTCCACTTGCATTTAGTTTCCATTACATTAGATACACTTTGACCGTTGAAATCCAATGGAAGTGGAGAATAGTTGAAAGCTGCCGCTTATTCTTTTACAGGAAATCGAATCCGATGCGATGGTGCATGAGCTTCGTCTTCTTCTTCGTTTTTGTTTTCTCTCGCTTGTCAGTTACAGACAGAGTAGAGCTTCTGGGCAGAGTCAAGTTGAGCCGAAATCAATCGACATAGACTCTGTGAGACAATTAATTTTATTGTCATGTTCACAGATTCAAAATGAATTTTTCTCAAACAAGATATCATTTTGAAATGAAGAAGAGATTTCAGTGCGGTTTCGAATTTTGTTCAAGATTTATCCCGTCATTCTGATCTTTTCCAAATCACTATTATTTTTATCAAAAAAAAAAAATTGTATGGAAAATTTCGAAACAAGCGAGAAAAATGCCAAAATTGATCTCATAAACAATAGATTTAGACCTAAGTGGTCGTCCGGTTCTAACAGAGTAGCACACATGTTCAATTGACACGGGTTTTACTGTTTGAATGATCATCTGATAAGTGTGTTGCTCTGCGCTTTAAATCCGTTTGATGCTGGTTATTGTTTGATAAATTCCACACATGCACCACCTTGATGCGGATACCTATGAACATCACATCGTTCACGGTATTTTTCTCTTGTTTTATCGCAGCCTTCAAACCGATTCGTTCAAAAATAGCATCAAGTCATCGCACCAAGTCATTTCTTTTTTTCGTGTACAAATCGCTCGAAAGTTTAAATTTCATTGAAACAATTAATGGAAACTAAAATGGCGCATGGCCATTGCACAGAAATAATTTTCATCGAATTTCAAAGCATAGCGTTGCGTGTATGTGTGATCACGACAGCATCATCATCGTCATCATCATCACATTACAATCTTCGACGACTGAATTAGTCGCTCATGATTTTTTTTCTCATCGCTTTTCCTCGTTGAATCATTAATCCAAAAATATCATACATATGATGCGGTTGAAATGAAAATGAGACTTTCGTCGCTCAATACACAGATACGAAACAAAAATAAAGCAATCCATTAAAATGGAACATGGAAAAGAAATCCGTAAGAATGAAACATAGCATGTGCCGTTTTAAGTATTTCGCTTTGCGGTGTTCCGTTTTGATAGATTTTTTGTCTGCAGTGTCGTTATGAACGAATCCTCTCGCATTGTTTCATATGAATGGATCTGTATCACATTGTTTCGTTACTCGAATATTTTTTCGTGTGTTTCATTTCAAATGATTCCCGAGCTATTGATGACGTCACTCGCATTTATCACATGATGCAAATTAAGTGATAAGGAGCCCGAATTTCGATGTGGCGATAACACCAATGGATTGGGCAAAAAAAGTACTGTATGAGAATCGAAAAAAAAAAATTTAAGCTTTTTTTTCGATTTTTGCCTGTTTCGGATCGTCAACATGGGAAGTTTGTATGAAAATCTCGGAGCGCCGGTGTTTTACCCATATTGTTATACACATCAACAAAGCAGTCTGCTTCACCGTAGAAAAGTAGTGCGCAGTAAGAAAACAAGAACGTACATGTTTTGGCAACGTGGCTATGAATGAACGTAATTTCTCGTTACATTTCTCATTACGTTCATTCATAATCGCTATAATGCAACGTTGCCGAAACCTGTACGTTCTGGTTTTCTTAATGCGCACTACTTTTCTACGGTGAAGCAGACTGCTTTGTTGATGAGTATAACAATACGGGTAAAACACCGGCGCTCCGAGGTTTTCATACAAACTTCCCATGTAGACGATCCGAAACAGACAAAAATCGGAAAAAAAGTTTAAATTTCATTTTTCGATTCTCATACAGTACTTTTTTTGCCCAATCCATTGGTGTTATCGCCACATCGAAATTCGGGCTCCTTATCACTTAATTTGCATCATGTGATAAATGAGAGTGACGTCATCAATAGCTCGGGAATCGATTGAAATGAAACACACGAAAAAATATTCGAGTAACGAAACAATGTGATACAGATCCATTCATATGAAACAATGCGAGAGGATTCGTTCATAACGACACTGCAGACAAAAAATCTATCAAAACGGAACACCGCAAAGCGAAATACTTAAAACGGCACATGCTATGTTTCATTCTTACGGATTTCTTTTCCATGTTCCATTTTAATGGATTGCTTTATTTTTGTTTCGTATCTGTGTATTGAGCGACGAAAGTCTCATTTTCATTTCAACCGCATCATATATAATTGGAATCTATATTTATATACATTTACACCTAGCATCAACAGACGGGCTCTCTGGCATTATATATATATTTTTTTCATTTTTGTGCTAATCGAAGCGAAGCTTCGTTGAAACAAAAAAAAAGAGAAATAAACGAGATAGAAACATATTACTGACCTCCTGAAGTGCTTTTTTGTCGGGTACTTTATTATTTTGTAGAATACGTATCACATTTTTGGCACCAGCGACAACAGCTGCTTCGATTCGTAAACGATGTAAGAGCTCTTCGATACGCTCTTCAAGTGATGTTTCCAATTCGCGGCCACTGCTATCACCGTTTTCATCAGTTACCTATAAAAAAAAGATGGGAAATTCGAGGGAAACGAAGAAGACGGAATTATTCTTTCGTCGTTATTTTTATGATCGCAACTGTTTCTTTTTTTCTCTTCCATTTTTTACTGTCTCATTGTTGATCACTTCTAAATTTAATCAATGAATAAACCAGTGAATGGAAGCCAAAGTGGAATTTTTCTTCGGTCTCTACTCCTTTTGTTGTATGGTATGCAGTTCTTTTTTCTCTTTCATTACTTACCTTGCTGGATTGACCATTGCGGCGCACTTTTAATATTCGTAATTTCAAAAATTCTATTTTTGCCTTTGAATCGGCTAACATTTGTTGAGCTTCTGCTAATAGTTTTTTATCACGTCCGTGATGTGCGCCACTTATTGATTGGATCATATTCTCGGCGCCATTTTTCACCTTCATTTCAATATTCAATTGCTTCTCCAGCGATGTCAGCAGCTTATCATTTGGTGTGTCATCTTTCCTTTCTAGAGCTTCTGCAAAACAGAGAGACACATGAATTAATGAATGGAAATGTGAAAATATGAAGAAAAATCCAACAAACATTGTGTGTATCGGTTTGATTTCATAGATAGTTTCAGATATGCCCATAAATCGAAGTGAAAAAAGAAATAATCATCAGAGCATGACATTTTCTCTCAGTGTTTTTTTTTCTCTTCTTTTCTTTCAATTGCAATTGTACACTTAATTGATTATCGGCTTGAATGTGCCTTTGTGAATGCTTTGTGTTATGATAAATTATTATTGAATGAGGTCTTGAAATGGCTTACGGCCAATTTTGCAAGTGTGTAATGAACAGTTTTCTTTCAATGATTACATATTCCATTTCGGATTGGGCTGTAGTGTTTGAGCTTTCCAGCGTGAAAAGTCGACACATAACCGAAAGTGAGTCGAAAGCCGAGCAGCGGCAGCAGCACCAAACGAACCAACATTCATTCGAGTCACCTTTCAATTTCACTTATTACCACATTACGACATTTTATTGTATCTATATTTATGCGTGACGCATTTAAACGATTAAATCGCCTTTTTTGCCGAGATCTCGCCGACTCAAACGTGAGAACGCACCAGTAGCGACAAGCGGCAATGTTGGTGATGGCTATTGCTATTACTGCTGGCTGCCTGCCCGCCTTTTACGAATCGCAAAAGAACAAAGAATTTCGTTTGATTGCTTTTAAATCGACGGGAGTAAAAGGTGAAACGTGATTTTATTTTTGTGATGAAACAAATTGTAGAAGAAATAACACACGTATTTCTCTCTATCTCAATGCGCCGCCAATGTTTCTGTGCAATCGGGCAAATGGGCAATTCGATATATGTGTGTGCGCACATAATTCAGTTGTGTATCAAGCGTTTTTCGCGCTCATTTTTCCATACACACACACACACACACACACACACACACACACACACACACACTCCATCTCTGTCGATCGCTTCGGATTGTATTAATTGCGTGTTGCTTCACTTGGCTATGTTTAACACTGTTAAATTGTTTGCTCTTTGCCCTCTTCGTAAGACATCGCATACGTATGATGTTCGGTTTCGAAGCAAATGTCAAGCTAAGTAAATGGGGGAGCATCATCGGCGTCATGTTGTTGTTGTTGATCCACCAACAGCCAGTGCATTGCAATTGACTTTTATATGTGCTGGCTGGTGCTAATGCTGGTGTCTATTCGATTGTTTCTCGACACACAAATTCTTCTCTCCTTCTCTTTCGTCCCATGTCAAATGGTTTCAATTCTGTGTGTTTGCATTTTCGCATACGAATTGAAGCGTAGATAAGTACGTAACAATGAACCTCGTTTATATACGCTTTTCTTGCTGCCACTCGCAAAAATCGGTAAATCAAATCGTTTCATTCGACAAAAAAAAAACCAATGGCAATAAATAGATGTGTTTTTTTCTCTCTCTCGTCTATTCCTGAAAATTGAATGCATGAGATGCTCTGCGCCTATAGTGTACATACAAAAATGCGAAGATACATTTCTTTTACATCGTTTGATTGCTCTTCACGTGGCAGACACATTTTTTAACTGCTTCATTCTTTTGTTTTGTTTTGTTTTCTTTGGCGTTTGTGTTTCGCATTTTGTATTCCTATTGAACGCAGTTTAGATTGAAACTCTTCTTTTTTTCATTTTCTAATGTGTAAACGGTGTGTTTCATCTCATTTTCTTTTGTTTGGTTTTCATTCAATGTTTCATTTGTTTATTTTCGTCTGTTGCTTTTCTGTTTTTCTCGTGTAATTCATAAATGTGTGTATATGTTTTGGTGTTTCTTCTTGAAAAGCGAGAGAAAAAGATCATGTAGCAGAAGCAGCAGCAGCCGCCGCCGCCGCCGCCACAACAACAATGCTCGATATATCCGATAATGCTCACTGTACCAAAATTATTCTTTCATTTATGTTCGCACCGCGATGCTATGCGAATTAAATAGATTAACCAATCGTAATGTGCTTTGTTTGTGTGTCTGACTGACTGACTGACTCAATGACTGACTGTACACGAGCTATGCTCTCCGTGGATTGGAGATTTAGTGTGTGTGCGTGTGCGTTGTTCCACGAAGTCTCACACACCACTCATTTTCACGATATTCATTTGAACCGTGGCGCGCGTACAAGTGTAAAACAATTGATTTGATTCAATTCATTTGATACATACACACACACACCATTCAGCATCGCTTTACATTTGTTAATTTTCTAGAAAGTGAAATTATTAAATGAACCAAACCAATCGAGAGCAGAAAAATATTTGTCTTTCTTTGCCTTGAACGATTTTGCGGATTCAATGGCTTTTAATTTGAGCACTCAACCAAATTCAACTGATATGTGCTTCTGTGTGAAGCGTCAAGTGGCATTTGAAAGTTTTTTTTTTCTTTCATCATCATCATCATCTTTTCATCATCGGAAAACGATTTGAGTGCGATGTGAAAGAGATGAAACCAGCGCGATTCGGCCAATTAATCATTTGCCAAATGCGTTTACAATATTGTGCCGTGCCAACGATAAATCCACTAAATGGGTCACACATCGATGTATCTCCAAACGGTCAACGAGGAGTTTCGTTCGGTGCCCGTTTGTAACAGCAGCACAGTTACGACATCGATATGCGAGCGCATGCATGTCAATGTGGACACCATTTGGTGTATGTATGGCTTGAAACAAAACGAAACAAATGTAAAATGAATGAAAACAAATCGTGAGCATCGCCTCAACGAAAGACCCTCTTACACACCACAGCATTATAATCAAACAAGGTCGACGATTTTCATCAATTGTTTTTTTCTTCTTCTTCTTGGTTCATCGTCGTAGTTGCTGTTGTTGTTTCTGGGTTGGCTACCTTTGCTGTTGTTTTTGGTCAAAATACCCAATGATTCGCATATTGAGTAACTGCAAAATTTGAACCCATATTTTATTTAACACCATTAACAACTGCAGCTCTCAATTAACGCTAAATAAATCATTTACGAGCTCTGCATATCGTTTCTTTTTTGTGCCTTCTTCTTCTGCATTGAACGTGCATAAAATGCAAAGTGCATCATGATATTCATGAAAATGTTTATGATCCGAACGATATATGCTAACAATGGCTGGTTTTTGGCGCGGCACAGACCGGAAATCAATGCGAAGTCATGTTTAAAAAGATCAACATCATTATATAGCACCGTAAAACACCTCGAACCCGTTTTCCACTTGTGGTTCACACGAAATCTCTTTATTTTGTTTTTTTTTTCGGTCGATATATCGCATGAATCATATTGAAGAAAAAAACTACGTTCGAGAAAAAAAAATCGATGCTAATGCCAACAGAAGCACGAACCAATTTTTCATGTAATATCGTTCTCAATTTATGCGGTTCAATTTTAATACGTATACAATTTTCACACTTTCTATGTGGATTGTAATTTTCATGTGTATCATCAATTTCGATGTCAAACATCTGCGATGGATCGCGAAAATTGGTGTGTGTACTTTTTTCTCGTCTTTGCAAGGGAGAAAAGCAGAAAACCGCGAAATACATGGAAAATTACTTAAAAATCGTTTTTCTATCGACAAGCGAATCGAATGGAAACAAATTCCATAAATCAATTATCAAGCAGAATATGAAGCTCAAAACTCTCGCCAACTACTACTCAATACATCTCTCGCTCATGTTCACTGCCAATGTAAAGAGTAGTAGCACAGTGTGATTTTGTTGCTAGGGTTGCTAATTTACGATATAAAATTCCATGCATATTTGCAATCTCTTATTCGATAGTATCGATGTGGATATATATTCTAATATCGAAGTCATTCAAGTTGAAAATGTTTCGCATTAACAATTTATTATGTGGATTATATCAATTTTTGGGGCGATCGACCGTGTTATGTGCGCTCATGTATGCTGCCCGTCGTATACGGGTGTGTGTGTGTGTGTATGTGAGCGAGAGTGAGTGTGTTTGGTGTTAATTAAGTATCTGCTCATCGAAAAATATATCTCGTGATTTGAATTTTTGGAAGAAAGTGCAAGTGTTTCGGAGCGAATGGTGTAAGAGGAGTCATCGATAGTCAAGCAGTCAACGCAAAAAAAACACTCACACAAAAAATCGAAAGCAACAAAAAAACTCATAATAATATAAAAATCGATCAAGACAGAGCACACACCTTATTCGGTTGTGTATTGCCAAAGCTGTTTTATTTTTTCGTACGTCAGTCATCTCCATCATTACCATGTTATGGCATGTTGTTGAACCGAAAATGACTGCATTTGGTGATTGAATGTTTCGTTTGTGAATGGTGTGGGTTACGCCCACAGAGAATTTCTTTGCTTCGCAGCAGCCCAGCACAGTTCGGTTCACAAGGCATCAATCTGGCTTGTAATTCGAAACAACCAAGGGACAAATTACACAAATATTTGTTTGTGTGTGCGGTGCTGCTTGAAATGTTTAACCGATTAACACTTATTGACTTTGACTATATATTCAGTGTGTGTTTGCCAATTTTTTCTGGCATCGTATTCTTCACAAGATAAATACCATATGAAGCGTGGTACATCTTCTACACAATTTCGATATATTTGGAATTTCGTTTGCGATTTCTCTTTCATTTTTTTTTCGGTCGTTTTCGATGAAGCAGCACACACACACACACACGACAAAAAAGAACAACAAAAACATAAAAAAAAGAAAACGTCGCATTCTCACTTTTTAAAGACGAACAAAACAGAAAAAAAAGATTCAATAGAATCGCGCATAGTGCATCTTCGTGATTCGTGGTCGATGGCGGGTTGTGCACCACGTACAAATGATTGAGGTAAATGAATGTTCCCGATGGAAAAGTGAGTTTGGTCGACGACGTGAGCAACATTCCGAATTCTCTTGCTTGGATTGTTTGATTGCAATGCGCTCGCGTTCGCCATTCGATCGCGTGTGTGTCTGTGTGTGAAATTCAAGCATCTGTGTCGCAATTTTCAATACATTATTCATGAGCTGCTGCGATCCATGAATTCATATATTTTTTATTATTCATTTTTCATGTATAATCTTTTCAATTATTTCTATCATTCAATTGTGATTTTTCATTCATTGCTCAATGTAGGCCACAGCCTGTTTCTCTATCTCTAAGCACAAACACACACACACACACACACACACACATTCCGAACATACTATACGCGTGCACGCTTGCGGACACATCAGAATTGTTTAGATTTGTATGGAAAACGGTTTCGAATTCTTGAGCATTTGTTCTTGTGCGTTCGTTTATCATATGACTTATTGTTTTTGCTATGCTTCGTCTTGTGGTTTATGCTAATCAAGTGCTTTTCATCACCAATTTGCAATCGTATTGTCACATGTAAACCGAAACGAAAATAGCAAACGTAACGGTTTGAACGACACCAATTAGTGGTGGCCCATGTATTTAATCCAACAGCAAATCTCGCTCTCTCTCTCTCTTCTCTGTTTTCTCACTCTCATTCTGAATCAGAAATTCCATCGATTATTCATTGTATATATGTGCCTTATTGAGTGCGATGAAAGAGTGCTTTTCTCTATTGTGCGTAATGTTGAATGGAACTGTGTGTGTGTGCTGTGATTGTATTTGTGTCGAGGAACCGTTTAAATTCGAAATGCCCAAAATTTAATTCGCTCCTCATTAAAAAAAAAACACCATGCTGTCAGACGCAATTGAAATTCTCTCAGGCATTGATTTTGACTGAATACAGTGAGTGTGCGTACAGTGAGACAATCCACAACAAAGTAAATGATTATTTCATGCCAGTTTTATTTTGAGAAAAATTCAATTAAAACATTCGTTTCGCTGCGTGCTGTCGCTCCATGCTGCGGATATATAGATTTTGATAGCCAAAATAAAAATCACCGAAAAGAGTACTCACACGCCGCGGCAGCAGCGGAGACAAAACTTGGTGGTGGCGGTGGCGGTGTTGGCCTTTCCTTTTATTTATCTGTTTCTTTCTCTCGCTTGCTGTGTCTCTTAACCGCACATATTTGACTGCTCACTGGATGCTTGCCAACAATTATTAGCAATTTTATGCATGTGGGATATTTTTCCCCATAATTTCCATTTAATTATTTTCATTTATTCCTTTTGGCTGTAGCGCTGGTTTTATGTAATATTTTTTGTGTCGTGTTCGGCTTTTTTGTTTTGTTTTGGTTTTGGTTTTGGGTTTTTTTTTTGGGGGGACCATTTCATTTTAATAATTTTGTTATTGTTGCTGTTGTTGTGTGCAGTTTTACAGTTGCCTTTATTTCTTTTTCACGCTTGTGAATTAAAACAGCAAATGGCTTTCGCGTGGTTATAACGAATGTAAGCTTGCACCAACTAAATTTTTCTGGTGCCGTTAAGCATTCTTCTTTTTGTTTCACTGGCTCTATCTCTCTCCGCTATTCATTTCGTATCATTTCTTCGAAATTTTTGTGTTCCCGTACACAGATTTTCTTTTCCCGTCCCATTCCAGCTCATGGCCAACTATTTGAAAGGTGAAATAACAGCCAGAGAGAGGAATATATTCATAGGAAATGAATGAAAACAAAACAGATTTAAAAAAAATTGTCTCTTTTATAAGAAATAACACAACAGATTACTGTGTGAATGTTCGGTTAGTGCTTTTTTTGCTTCTTTTCATTTATCTCTTTTTGACTCTCTCTCTCTCTCTATCTCTCTCTCTCTCTCTCTCTCTCTCTCACACTAACCCCGGTTGATTATTTCGTTCACAAATTCTTCATAATCGTATCGTAAATTACTGATATGAACTGGGACGATAAAATTCTTGGTTAACGCCACCAGATATATACATATAACGTAGAAACAATGAAGTCAATGGCGGAATCGGTGGCAGTGGCGGCGGCGAAAGAAGAAAAAAACACATACTATGTAATGTTCACATCAATTGGGAAATGCACTCGCTTTAGTTGCTGTTGTTGTTGTTTCGTATTTGAAACAGACGGAAAAAAACGGAGCGTTTATCTAACAAGAGATTGGTCGGTGCAATTACAATGCACGTGGTTTGGAAATACTTTAATTTCGTATTTTATGTTGTTCTGGTTTAGTTTTCGTTATTGCTTGTAGCTACGAAAAAAAAGTGCAGTGAGAAGTTTTCTAGTGCAAGAATGAGCACGAAAAAAAAGCAACAACAACAGCACCACAGCAGCAGCAGCCAGCAATATAAATTCGCCGCACGTTGTATGACAACGTCAACATTGCAGAACAAAAAGATATTGTTGCCACGTTCTTCGTTGCTTCACGTTTAGAAATGAAAGCCGAAAAAGGGCTACTCCAAAACGGAGTGTTCATTCTTGCATTGCAACTCCTCGAATTTGGTGTTTTGTGCACAGAACGCAGAGAGAACAAAATGGAAAGAAGAGAGGAAAGAGACAAAGAAAGCGCACACATAATTCAAATAACAAAACGATGGAAAAAAAACGCCGTCTCAATGACGTTACATGTAGAAAAACGTCGTATTATTAAGATGTACATTTTTGTATTCTATGAGAGAAATTTTGTGTTCCTTTTTTTATTTTCATCTTTAAATATTGTTTGTTTTACTCTGAGGAGAGAGAAAAAAGAAGCGAAAAAACCAACAATGCCAGCAGTTTTTTTTGCTAAGCTGATTTTGTTTTTTGCCAATTGTTTTTCCTCTTTTCTCTTTCGCTCTGTTGTCAGGCTTGCCAATAGCTGTAAAGCGATGCAAATAGACGGATTTTAATGAACTGATTAATAAGTAACAACAAACTCGCTCTCTCTCTATGTGTGTGTGTGTGCGTGTGGTTGGATCCACCATTCATTGTGAGTTTACATTCGACGCAAGCAAATCATCTTGAAAAATTGTTATCGTCGATAATTACAATTTTTTTTATCACTCATTTTCTTTTGGTTCGTTCATTCCGCTCGTTACATCGGCGCATAACAAAGGCACGACAAAGCAAACAATTAAAATGACAATGTTTTAGTTTTTTTCTAATTAGTTGTCATCATTGTTGTTGGTGATGTGTGTGAGGTCGTTGCCGGTGTCTGTTTTCACATTTTCGCCATGACAAACCATTTCGAATGTTTATACAGACCAGACTACTTCTTGCTGATTTCTTCTATTCGGCCATTATCGCAAAATATACGAACATTGTTTACTAATTTCCCCATATTTCCCCTCAATATATTTTGTGTTTTTTTTTCTTCTAGTCTTTGACTCAAATCAGATGCACTCTGTTCGCCGTTTTTTCTTCCTTATTTTTCTCTTTTCGAATGACGATGACGCTAAGACTTCAAACAACACTTTTTTCCGTATGCATGTGAATGCATTTAAAATATCTTCTGTTTTATAAATAGCAGTAAATCACTGCCGCTTTGAGATAAGAGCCTTAAATGAAGTATGGCACTTTGTGATCAAAAATATGTTACAAATTTCTTCTTTTTTTGCTCCCCAATTAAAACGTAGCGTCTTGTTTTTTAGTCGGGGCATATATGTATATAATCCCATTGGATGTGTTGCGGTCATAAAGAATGCCGCTATCTAGATCGACAATTGGTTCGGAGACACTGTAACCTACGGAGACCTACGGAAACTGTATTTTAAACACATTTATTTAATGGACCTAAATACTGCGATATCGAACTGAGCTAGAGAACACGCGACCAAATCGGCCCAATATTTAATGGAAAAATGGATCATATCGATTGATCAGATGAAACGTTGTAATTGATTTATTTCGGTTCGATTCAGTTTGGTTTTGCTTTCCATTTTTTTGTTTCTCTATCTCAATGTTGTTGTTATGGCTGTTTGTTTATTAGTAACAAATTGGTAATGCACACTTTTTCTCAGTTGCACATCATGAAATCCATAGTGTGTGCAATGATTCGGTTCTTTGATCGGAATTCAATGGTTCAATTCCGATTTTCAATCCATCGCTTTCGTTGCGCACACTGTGTTGTCATTCTTATTAGGTTTCTACTGCTTGATGAACTTCAACACGGCTGATTGGCCGAAAAACCCCTTAACATAATGTGTATGTAACGCTTGACACATTAAACTTATTCATGCCGAGCAAATTGATATATAGTTTGTGTTTCCCATGCCGTGTGCTGTTACAGTTAGATTGTTGTGCGCGCCGTCTTCATGTCGCATTTGATTTCAATTGGCGTAAAATATTATGTTTATTTCATTCTATGCGTGTCTTTATTTCCATAAATTAGCCACATTTGACTGCAATTTAGTTTACGGGCACAATTTGAAACAACAATTAGAAATGTAACGATCACGACAACGTCGTCAACGTCGACGACAAAACGAGATATTTTAGAAAATTGTTACTTACCTTGGCCATTGCTTACAGTGTTGCCCTTCGTCAGTAATATTTGACTTTCGAGTTCATGCAGCTCGGATTTGAGTTCGGCTAATTTACTATTGCTTTTCTTTACAATGGATGCCACGTCAGACAATGAGCGACGATCTGTTGTCACTTCACGCAGTTTTTCAGCACCCTCTTTGATCTACACCGAACAGAAATTGCACCGTTAAAGCAAATCAAACACAATTTTCACGCAGAAAAAACGTATTTTTTTTTCTCTTCTCAGATGAAGAGAAAGCAAAACAGATTTAAATTAAATTCAATTACCTTCAATTCCTTTCGGATTTCTCGTCTGATCGCCTCTTTGATCTCCTCCAGGCGATTGGGAAGTGCACTTTCCGGTAGATTGTCGGTGAAACCATATTTGTGACTTAATTCATATAAAACTGGATGTTTTATATAATCACCCTGCAAATGAACCAGAAACAAAAAAGAAAACATGTTACAAATTGGATTTTCTAGTATGATTGACAGTCAACGGTCGAATTGAATACAGTTCTTTTTTAAGATTATGTAAATGACACGGGTTTTAAATGCCGGCGGGTGCATTATTTTCTGTGTCAGTCACATCCCCCATTTAAAGCTATGGATAAGAAATTCAGTTCACTTCACTTTGTTTCTTTCATTTTCTTTGCTGTGGTTCTTCTTTTGCACCAGCAAAACAAAAGAAAAATAACAAGAACAACTGCAAAGGAAGCATTTATCGGCAACTTGAAATTTATTACAGATCAAACAAGAATATGCAAGTTGTTGAATCGAAATGACAATTTAAAATGTTGAAAATGTGTCTGTACAGTTAGTTAGAAACCGGCATCGTCATCATAATTGACATCGGGAATTTGAGTAGCCCGAGTCAATGACAGCGCGCTTCGCATTAAAATGTGAAGAGACAAAAAGAAATGCTGTTTTCCGTTTCAAAGCTGAGCGACGACAGACTTGTCCAAACACACACACACACACGACGTGCAATATGTTTTGATGTTCGATAATATTTTATGTGCTTTGAAAATTTATGGCACATTTTCCATATCAATAACTCTCCCGATACCACAAAATCGAAGTTGCCTCAAGATTTATGCTCTTTGGAAATACGTTTTTTTTGTTCATTCTCGACGACGAAGCTTCGTTTGCTTGACAACTCCCGTTGAACTGAGGCGACACACACGAAATGCGAACTGCGCACACGGAATGATCGGGTTTTGGTCGGTGTCGGTCAATCGGTGCCATACAAGTTGTCATAAAATACCTAAATCAATAAATAACTTTTCCAATCAACTGACTACATCAATTCAATTAAAATCGATTGAATTTAATTGGCAAAAATAAAATGTTGAAAAAAGCAGCAACAACAAACGGGGCAGCCCGATTTAAATAAGACAAAGTGGCCAATAAAATCGAATATGGTGGCTTTACGTGGATTCATGCGAGATTCAGTGCAGCAACTAAAGGTGAAGTGAATGAGCCAATATTAAATTGATTGCATAGCAACGGTTATTCACGGTTGTGAATGATTCAACCAAAACGAAGATGACGGCTGCGAGACGGCGACCATTGCTCACTACTCAAGATTTAGAGTTTTAATCTGATCATGATTAGAGAGTTAAGAGACACAGAGAGAATGAATATCGGACAATGAAACGATGTTCGGTTTCGATGATACACCGTAGTATCTTATGTGTGAGAGTACGGAACATTTTCGAAATTCACCGGGAACACGGTTTATTGACTTTGCTCGGAAATTGACTTTGCTGTAAAAGCAAATATTAAACAAAATGCAAGTATTTCTTCATTGTTTTTTGTATTTCTCCGTTTAAAATGTGTATGTATACCTGTAATGGATGATCGGTATGAATGCATTTTAGGAAAACACTTTTATGCTTGAGCAATGACTTTTGTCCGCTACTTCGATAGTATTCCATTGTTCATCACGTTTGACGACTATTTTCTTCTCGTTTTTTTTTTCGTTTCTACTTGAAATGCACGCGCTTTAGGGCGAAATTGCTTTCGCCTATCGATATTTTTGACGATGGCGGCAAAAATTAAGCAACAGCTGCACTAAACAAAATAATGTTCATGATCAAACCAAAAACAACAACGACGACGACAACAGCAACAACAACAACTGGATTTTTTTTTGTTCGGATTCATGCGTGTTTGTGTTCGTAGCCGCGACAAGATTTATTTAGTATTTATTTCTTATTTATCATTATTTTCACTCTATAATTGCATTTGACCAAGCATTCAACGTGATTTATATTGTATCATTAAAGTGTCTGGGGTGCACGAATGCAAAAATTCAATCGCTTGCGCTCGGCATGTATGCAATAATGTCGATGAGAGAGCAGTTTGTGTGTATGTGTCTGTGTGCGAGAGAGCACCTCGTTTCGGCCGAACTGTTGTTTTAATTTTATAATATCATTTTAATCCATTGGTAATCGAAGCGCTTGTAGTTAAAACACCAAATGTTGTTATAACGGTTTGTGTCGCATCTACATTGCCAGCAGCGGACAACCGGTCAGCCGAAAAAAAAAATAGCGGCAACAGTACAAGTGCCGATACCACATGACAAATACCCACAAATTCACTGCACACACGTTGTTTCAGCATCAATAACAAACCGTCGACAAACAAAACATGAAGCGCGCGCTACACCAAGAGAGCGAGCGAAAAAAAACCGGCAATGGCAACAACAACACAGACAATTCAATACAGTAGCCTGAGCGTGCGCGCTTTATGTTCAACAATCTCTCAATGCACGAACAACGAACATCATTAACAATCACTTAGCAATTAAAAGCGATGCAATTTCATGCACAAAACAAAAACCACTTCAGAGAGAAAGAGAGACACAGACAGTTTTTCCATAAACATTCACACACAAAAAAGAGCCGACCCGAACGAAACTCACAATTGCACAGCAAGCCGCGAAAGCCAAGAATTAGCCTAAAAGAAGCACACACTGAATGGACCGCGCGCAATGCGTTTAACTTGTTTTCCGTTGTATAATATTTTTAATGTTTTGCGCACTGTACTGATGAGTTGCGCTCCTTTTTCTACAATGCACAAAGTCCCGTGCGTGCGTGTGTGTGTGTGTGTGTGTGTGTGTGTGTGGCTATGTGTATGCACGATATTGGTTTCGATAGGCTTGACTCTAATGTCCAACTGTGAAATACATTGCTTCGGAAATCGATAATAATAAATTTATACGCAAGACTTTGCAATTGATATGGCACAAAATCGATTTGCTATGAACTTGAAACAAATGAGCAACGAAAGATCCTATCACAATGTAAACTATAGCCAATTTTCAAATCATTTGGAACTGGCCACTGATTTGCCTCTTTTTTTTGCTTTCGTCGTCGTCGTTATATTGCCATTTTTAACCATTTGCAGTCAAACAACAAAGACACTTTTATCACTTATCAATTGCGAATGGCTCACATATGCGAGTATGGGTTTGTTTTCATTGCTTTGGTCGTGCGGTTGTTGTTGTGTATTCGAATGATTTATTTGTTAGCTGATTAGCCGAACGATCAAAACAAGTTTCTATTGATTTAATGCTGTTGCTGTGATAGCCAAATGAGGACTTCTGTCGTTATGTTTGCCAGCACAACAAACCGCTACGCGTATTTTATGCGAGCAATCGATTTTATGTACGTATGTTTCCCGTGTTTTCTATAATTTTTTGGATAAACGGATGAGTCTTTTCTTTTCCCTTGTGTCGTGTCGTATCTTGCTATCTTTCTACACTCATAAATTGCAATTCGGTTCGGTTTGCGTGTAACGAATGCCACTATTGATATTGACTTTTGTCATTAAATAATGTTCAAAATAAACCGCCACTTTTTTTATTTATATTTTTTTTCGTTCTCTCCACGATTACGAACTTCATACACACACACACACATGCCGACCAATGCAGAGGGAGAGAGAGAGAGAAGAGGAAAAACTCCGAAACAAAAATAAAAACTTGCGCTCGTCTCAATGCACAAAAGGTCTGATTATTTCGCTTGAAATTGTTATCTGTTTCGTGGTTGTGCTTTTTTTGTCCCTGCTTCTTCTTTTTTTCCCCTTTGATTCAGTTTAGCGATCAAGCAAACGTGACACAACAAAAGAGAAACAATTGCATTCTCAGTAAGACTCGGCTGAGTTTTCGTTTCGGTCGTCGTCAGTTTATGTTTCGCTTGTCGCGCTTTTGCTTTTTCCGTTCAGTTACTTTAAATTGAATTAGTCCACACTTGTAATCAAATCCAAACGACACAATTTCTATACACATTCAACAGCAAAGGCAGAAGAAAAAAAAAATGAAACGATAAGTACAACACAAACACGCCGATCCAATGACCAAAAAGAATATTTTAGTGGCAACAAAAAAAAAGTTGTATGCGTTGCTTTGCTGATTTTTTTCTTCGTCTTCTTTTCGCTTGGTCTCTTTCTACGTGCTCCGCTCAGAAGTTGCGCGCACGTTTTTTGCCCGCTTTTAACCCATATAAATCATCATTTACACCATATTCGCGAATAACGCTTTCAGTTCACTCTATGCACCGTTGTGTTTACATTTAAAATGAATAATCATATACAACGAATGAAAACAAACAAAAACCCAAGTCACTCATTCGTATTTAAGATACGTAAAATGTAAACTTTCAATGGAAACTTAATCGATATTCAGACAAGTATTACACAGCTCAAGCGTTTCGCACTTGCGATATCATACCGGACGCGACAAATACTGTGTGATATTTGCATTTGCGAACGTGAATTAACTGAAATCTGCTTCTTCTTCTTCTTCTTTGTTTCGTTTTTCGTTCGACCATCACAATGATTTTGGAACATGCATGATTTCGCGTATTTTTTTCCGTTCGTCGTTGTTGCTGTTGTTGTCTTCTTCAAATTCTATCTCGTTTGTTTTGATGTTGTTGTTGTCGTCGTCGTCGTCGTTGATTTTGTTCTGCAAATTTTGAACTACGAAAGCGCGACAAAATATGAATTCTTGAAATGAGTGCACGTCCATAAAAATGATTCAATTTGACCGAAACAAGTGGGAAAGTTGTTGTTATTATTATAACTTTTTCGTGTGTGTGGCCCGACGTGTGATCTTTATGCGAATGGGCCAATGGAGCAGCGCAAACTAAATAAATCAAATAAGTGAGTGGAAGTAAGTTGGCAGCGGCTATTGAGACGGCAATAATCAAAGCTTTATGCTACTAAAATAACAATGAGAAGAGTATATTTCCAAACAAATACGTTTAGCAGTGTGTACTGTTTATTTTTTCTTCTGTATTTTGATTTGGTGCGCACGTTTGCGCACACATGCAAAATAACCAAGAAACCATAATGAATGTATGCTGAGCGTGCTCTCTCTCACGTTCGCTATGTGCGCTCAAAACTGGCTTCCGTCAATTCGATAATGGAGTTCCAAAACATCGGGAGCTGCCACTGAGACACCAACGTAGTCGATGCGAAAAATGTATATATATATATATATAAATCGTATGTGTGATGAAAATGCAACATGGAAAAAATCACTATCGGAATGTGTGCTATCGCTCCCGGCACAGCTGACGATGTGTCACACACATACACGCGCACAACGGGCATATCCAAAATAACGATGTTAAATCAGCAGTAGCAGCAGTAGCAGTAGCAACAAAAACAAGAAAATCACACACATTGGCCACTAGCATACACAGTAAGCACATGGAATGGCACGGCACATTGCCATTGCCATGCCACATAACGGATAACACGCTTATACGGCATGCAAGCTCCGGCTTTGTCCTACGCTCTCTTCAATCAAACCAAACTGAACCAAACCAAAAACAAAAGCAACGACGACGACGACAACACACAAAAAACAGATTTCATTATAGATGCTCCAAAGTTGACAAAAAAAATCCACTTTGTTCGTCCGTACTCAAGCATTTTTTCGAGTTCACTTCATCTCCTTTTATGCGACCATTTTTAGACATGGTTATATGTATGTGCTTGCGTATGTGTACGATCTACCGTATGCGAAAAAATAATAATCCACAAAACACAATATCAGCATAATCGCAAACGACAAAACGACCAGACACATTCACAAGAAAGTTCATTACACAAAATAGATGTGTTTATTTTTGATACGGTGTACGTTTTGTTTCGCTTCGCATTTTGAGCAGTTTTGAGTTGAACAACAATATAGCAATTTGGCTTAGCGACCGAAATGGTCGTCGCAAATCAATCTCTTGATCAGCTCTTATCCAAATTTGGCAATAAAAACCAATGAGTGAGTGAATGGACTGTTTTAGTCGTTGTGTTAATTATTTAACGATAAATCCATCGAACGAGACGATTCGGCCAACACTTAAATAATGCTTTAAAAAAAATTATTTATTCAAATAATATGAACCTGAAACATCGGGTGAAAGAAAAAATCGACGGGCGCCTCAGCGAGAGAAGCGAGAGGCAAACGGAATATCAAATGTCATCAATGTGCCAATCATTATTTCTGCGTGTAATTCATCAGAGTCTCTCATGTATTCGCTTCTAATTCTGTCAGCTTTTCAAATAAACAGAAAAAGAAAACAACAAGAAAAAAAATCGCACACACATATTTCTCTACACATGAAGAGCGTGAGCGCGCGTTTACGCCTGCCACACTAATCAAACGCAGACATAATGAATAAAAGTGAATGCCCGATGTTACAGGCGATGACACAAACGATAATTTAATTACAACATTTGTGTGCGCTGTGTGTGCGTTTCCATATGAATTGGTTTTCTATTTGGTGAATATGAGGCGAACATGTTTGCGCGCGCTGAAACGGTACACAAAATGTTGTTCATAACACACAACAGTTAAGTGTGTCAGATAATCGGTTGGATTTATCAGCACTTTTTTCCTCCTCATTTATTTCTTTCTTTCTCTTTCTATCGCTCTCTCTCTCTCTCGCCCTCTCCCTTGTTCGCTCTGTGGTCTCTTTCACACTCTGTGTGGTGCGCACTCGCTTCACTGTGGAAATGTGCTGCCTTAAACTACGAACAATGTTTTTCTTTATCAGCATAAATTCATAAAGCCGTTACTAATCGAATCTTTGTTGAAATTCACATTTCATTTGAATTCAATTAATTGATGTGTCGGTTGTTTGCAACCGCGTGCGCTCGTCAAACACATTTCGCATTTTTTTTTCATTTCGAGCGACGGCACATTTCACCGCGGATGGTTATTCTTTTTTAATTGGATATGTTCAATTTATTCAGCGCAATTTCATTACGATATTTGACACATGATTCGAAAAGTGAGCGAAATATTGCTCCTTTCGTTTCCGTTTGTGGAGCAAAGCCATTCAAACGCTCGCTGCCACCCAATGACAGCCATTCGTTTGCATAACAATGTGTGCACTTCTAAATGAAATTTTTCAGTTATCACATGATATGCATTCAAATGGAATCGTTGATTGTGTGTGTGTGCGTGCGCGCTTCGGCATTCAATGAATTTGGCCTTGAAAATGGTTCGGTTTACAGTTCTCAATGTTTGCACGCTTTGCCTTCGGTGTTATACGATATGGTACACATCCCTTTCATCGGTAGACATCTACTACAAACGCATCTGAACCAAACACTCGTTCTAGCAACGTGTTGGCTTGAAATGGTCGCCTCGATAAAATGTTAATACATTTCCGCTTTTAATTTTCAGGCGGACATTGTCATGCAAAAACCAATTTCAATTTTCCAATGGAGAATGAAACAATCGCACGATTATCACAACGCACAATGCTAAACAATGCGTTCATTTAAGGCGACAATCGGCCAAATGCAAACTAACCGTTTTTACACACAGAGAAAAACCGTTCGAATGAACGTAATGTCGATATTTTCTGCTCCTCTTCATTGTCTGCAACATTGTCAAACGGAACGATACACTCTCCGGTTTCGCTTTCTCTTTTGGCACTCCATCTCTACCCAGAACGAATGGACCAATCGATTTCAGTAGAAAAGTTTTCTTTTTTTTTCTCTTTCCATAAGGGTTTTTCAGTGAAACGAAACGTTTGCCAAGTCGCCAAGAAGAAATGACAATTCAATGTCACGGACACTGAATCGCCAGCAAATGCACTTCTCTTCACTGAACAATAATTTTTGATAGCCTCATTTCGATCTATTTCAAACTAATTTCTATGAAAGCAAATAACATCGACTCGGTGCTGAGCGCGTTGAAATTTCTGAGGCAACGAATTAGATACTATACGACAGCATTGACGCCGGATACGACATTACAAAAGTGATCCGAACTGTCACCATTGTTAGAGAGTCGATGTTATTATGCTGAACATAACAGAATAAAATATATTTTTATATTATATGTATATGTAGCTGTAAAAAAAATGAAATAAATAGAGCTGAAAGAAATCTTGCATGAATGTTTTTTTTTCATGTGGCACTTAGTGTTCCCACAAACACAGATACATACAAACACGCGTGCGATAACAGAAAATTTCACTGGGCGCAATGCTGAAACATAATTCGCGCTGAATTTATATGCAGACATAAAATTAAATACGTCAAAACACAACGCGACACTGACAATCAAAAGTTCATAGAGTCAGTTAGATCTTTTTTTTCGGCGGTCGGTCGACCTCTATTGTCGCACAAACATAGACACGACAAATAACAAATCAAACCGACACTTTTTCATAGAAGAAAAAAAAATCCCCATTTTTTTCTCTCGGTTTCCTTTCTGTGTCATGAAATTAGAGCGTGATTATAAAGTAGGTGCTGTGAAGAATAACGCGCAGGCGTTTAAGTTTTAATATTTTTTTTTTTTCAAATTTCACTCGATCCAATGGCAAATGTGCGCATTTGTGTTGTTGTTGGCCCAGTGACCGTGGTACGTCGTTCGCCGAAAACGATTGTTTGCCGATTGGGTCAAGAATAGCAGCCGCATCAGCGGCATCACCAGCAACGCGCCAAGTGCACGAATATATCATTTGGTATTTAATCAAAAAATGGGCAACATAAAAGTCCACTTCATCTTTTTTGGGCATTTTCATAGCTTTTTGTGATGTGACATTGAATCTTTCACAATAAAATGATTTCTCAGGCACCGTAAAATATTTTATCATTCAATACATATAGATGAAATGAAATGCTTGTTATAATTCATTCCCAATCAAATTGAATGAAATGTTTTCAAGCCCGAAAATGGAGTAAATACATTAAAGCTCTGCTATTATGTGATTGATGGACAATACTCGTGGTAATTTTTTCAGCAATAAATAACGATTCGACGATAGCAGCCGTCAAAAACAGAGTATAAACTAAAGAAACGAATTCGCATGGATCCAATCTCCGATGAACAGCTTTCGCAGTTTATACGTTTTCAATATGTAAATCAAGGTTTTTTTTTCTTCATCATTGTTAATTGTGATGCTTTGTGTGTGGCTGAAGAAGAAAAATGCCTTTCGAAAACAGAAGCGAAAAATATTTTCGGTTGAAAAAAAAAACGACTCAAACATTTCATTAGGTGGATCAGATCGGTATCACAGGTGTACTATTTTTTTTTCTTGGTTGAGAATGTTAAAAATAAATTCCAGCTCGAGGAAAAAAAGACGACGTTTGTGATGTTATAAATGAACATCATCTGTGCCGACTCGAAAATCTCATGCGTAGACAAAAATATATTTGAATGATCATTGTTTCCTGGAATCGTACATATCGCGATCGTTCCATTTGCCGTCATATTTATGATGGCCATTAAAGCGGTCAATTCCACACTATAAATAATTCCGACGTGTCACATGAGTATGCCTTCTGACATCGTTTTTGGATGGAACACGCTTAAAACGAGTATTCTTCTTGACGATAAGTGTGTGCGGTTTGGTTTTTGCCACCGAAGCAGAAGCAATAGCAGCAGCACATGGAATATATAGCATTCGAAATGCGGACAAATTAATTATCATGTACAACAAATTGCAATTGACTGTCTACGTAAAATATCTACGCATAAACAAGCAATTGAAACACAAATTCCCCCGACTAAAAATAACAAGAAGAAAGATGAGGAAAAAAAACGGTATCATTCACATCAATCTTTGTTTTACAGGACTGTCACATCGAGTGGTATGTACGCAAAACAATTCCGTGTGTTGGATTGATCAATGATGACAAAGTCAAAAATCGAGACCGAAATTATTATACACGAAAACGTCTGTAAATAGCATAATGGTTATTGTATCGCATCCACGTAAGTTCAAGTCACGGCATGTTCTCAGTGCTAAGAAGGCAAAAAATGAACTCCAATCGTTTTTTTTTGTTGTTGTTGTTTTGTTTTCAAGCAAATCGCGTTTAAATAATCGATTGAACAACTTTTGTTGGTAATGCTATTTGGGCTAAACCACACGAACACAAGACACACACCACGGTGATGTGTGTTCACATCGAAAATCGCCCAGTCATTTCATTCGAATGTGAAAATGATATAATTAAATGTAGATTCCATTGTTTCAAGTGGCTACCGCTTGCGATTTTTTTTTTCTTTTCATTTTTTTTTTGAGACACACACACACACACCGAGTAAGGCCCACAAATGAAACAATGTTAGCTCATAATGGAATTACGTGAGACTTGGTTCATTTCTGGTCAATTAGTATCGAATACAAGGTCTCTGAATTTAGAATCGAAAGAATTGCAACGAATCCGAATCTGCATTTTCATAGCGCATTCAATCACGCAACAACAGCAAAAAAAAACAACGAAGACATACGCATGACCGTGAATTGGTTTTTTGCAAAATAAATGTTGTATGAAAACGAATAAAAAAAAACGAGCCCGCCACTCGAACAAACAGCCATTTCGAGATCGTATATAGATTATAAATTACCACCTACTTTAAAGGTTCCGTCGATATTGTGTTGTTGTTGTTGTTGTGTGTGTTCATTTTTGTTCACAGCGCTAAATGTGCGATTCACGACGTTATCAGACACTTAACTAAGTCTAATTTGATTAATATAAAATACAATAGGGTAATTGCAGGTGTTAAAATGAAATGTGTGAGTTGACTTACGTTGAAAAGATATCCTTTGATTTTGGTGGTGAAATCTTTAAGGAATACCATGTTCATGACATTTATATTGTCCAACATTTATGTAACAATCAATTTCAAAAACCTTTTTTTTCCTCTTTGTTTTCAGCTCAACTGTCTTTTTTTCGAAATTGATCGCTTTTAACACTTTATTGCTTTTCAAAATCACGTTCAGTCTCTTTTATTTGTCTGTCTGTCTACCAATTTCGAAATGTTTTTACACTTAACATTCGATGTGTTTCAATCATAATTTCGGTTAATTTGTATTGAAACATCGCTACGCATTGAAAACATCTGATGAAACAATCAAAATTGTTCAAATTAATGAATGAAAGAAAATAAAACAAACAAAACACTTTAAAATTACACCAGAAAAGTATTTCGTGTCAATTAACAATTGTGCACAGCATGAAAATTGAAACAAAAACAATCACAATTGGCCCTCCCGATTTCTCGGCATTTTGATGAAATAATCCAATCGAGCGAATTCCATTGGGGATACTACAATAATCTGTTGCACTCGCCAACATAGGTATGCCAACAAAATGAATACACCCAAAATCCCATATGTGTATTTATCTCTTTCTCCTGTCTGTTTTTCTACACGAACTAAAAAGCGCACACACACACACATACACTCAACGGATTCCAAACGGATTTTGAAATATTAAACCGTTTCAGTAAATCAAAGCTGACGACAATGACGGCAACAACAACAAAAAAACTCGCCATACGAAAACATGAAAATATGAACAGACCGATAACGACATAGAAAAGAGAATTCTAGCGCCACTATTCTGTGTACGATTGCTATGAATAGGTATGAGATGAAATGAGACTGCAAAAACCGCAAATAATATTATAGAGGAACAAAAAGTGTAAAAGAGAACTGGAGAAAACCGGCGAAAATTTTGAACCGAAAAAAGACGAACTCCACCGAGTTGATAGAATGAACGATGAAAACATAATCACATAAAAGTGCTGCTATAGTATAGCCGATGTGACGACAGTTTCTCAGTTTTTTTTTCTCTTCTTGGTTGCTTCTACTTTCAACCGTTTGCCGATAGATAGTTGTTCTCGGTGTGTCCGTTGTGTGTCTTCAGTCACAGTGTATATCAATTCGGAACCAAAGCCGTCGTCGACGTCGTATTCTGGAATTCTATGATTCAAAGCGCGCTTAAGTTGAATAGATTAAATGATGACGTATGCTTCGTTATGCATACACAAAACACATCCGGCTATCAGTATATCGATGTAATTTGAGCTCAAGAGCATAAGCGATATTCGAGAACTTGTGAGCAACTCACACAAATTTTTATACATTTGTTTTTTTTTCCTTCTTCTTTCTCTGCGTTCAAAAGGATGTTTGAAAGCAAAATACGTGAATGAAAGACACCGAGAATAGACCGCGCGCGCTCGATCGAAATACCAATGCGATTATTACTTGGAAGTATACGCATTTAATTCAATTGAATTCATGGTTTTGTGTAGTGTACATGGCCACATGTGCACCGAGATACACACACACACACACAGAGAGAGAGAGAGAGAGAGAGAGAGAGAGAGAGAGAGAGAAAAAGAGAGAGAGAGAGCAAGAATAAGAGCCATGTGCATCGATAGAGAGTTATGATACACCAAGGTACCACACAATCTAATCAAATCTGTACGCGATGGGCTTAAACCGTTTTCAAGTGTTTCGCCCGATGTACCGAACACGTAGTCATAAACGGCGCACCGAGTCTTATTCACCAGAAATGTGTTTTTTTTTTCATTCCATACCCACACTCTCACCGCCATGCGCACGCGCGCGCATACACTCTCGATCAAATTGAATTGGCGGCACGACGACAACGATTCCAGCATAAATCATCAAAATATTTGAGCGCAACTTCGGAGAATACAATGAACAAACACTCCACGGTAAAGAGAGAGACAGGGAGAGTCAGAGAGAGAGTCAGAAAAAAACCCAACATAAACCCAAAACACTTTATTCGAGAAATTGTCGTTAAAAAAAATTCAGTCGAATATATACATGAAATAATGAAATTTCATTGTAGAACTGTGAGCTGTTCTAAAGCAGCGGCATATCGGACGGTAAGGTAAAACTGTGAAGGATGGACAGAAAGAGCCAACGGTTTACAAAAAAAAAAACAAATACAAAAGTTCACTAAACTATCACACAGTCGGCACACATTGAATGTGTGAGAACGTGTTTTTTGCCTCTCATTTCTCTTCGTTCCTTTTTTTCCACTAGAATGTCGCTTGATGCCAACCTTCTTTTTATTTTATTTTTTCTCTTGTTGTTGCCCGCTGTAGTAACTTTAATTCACGTATATCAAGATTGTTTCCCTTGTTGTTTCTTTGTTCAATTATATTCGGCGTTAAATGTTCAGACAGAAAAGCCCGCGCGAGATGTGTGAATGTACAGTGAAACCATGACCAAATGTTGGAATAAACAAAAATTTGGTTTAATCTAGCATTCTCTATGTGTTTCTGAGTATGGTGAGTACGACGGCCCTAACTAAAAATCTATTCCAACTTGTGGAATTTAATTCTTTATGAATAATTGAAGATTTTGCTTTTAGTTGCACACTCTTCAAGACAGAGAGAAAGAGATAGAGAGAAGAGAGAGAGAGAGAGAGCGCAAAAGAATTTCACTCGACAAAGACAGAGAACGCCACAAAAATCCGATGAATTTAATCGAGTCTTAAAGTTTGACGCAGGGAAAAAAGCGAGCAAAGAAAACCAAAACCATTTCGTGCTACTTGCACATTGTATTCTTGTCGAGTGCACTAATTCGCTGCTATTTTCCCATTCTATTCCGACTTTTTAATACTTAACGAACTTTGAAAATACATTAAATAACTTGAACATTCTTTTACAGGTATAATGAATCCATTTTCACTTCGTCGACCATGCAGCTCATGCACCAAAATTGCGCCGCATGCTTTCGCAAAACTTTTCCACCCAAAACCCAACTTATCGACTATTCATACCATCGTCTCCTCATTCTATCTCGTCTTTTGTTTGGTGTTACGCAACGGACTAAAGATTATAAGAAGATTTTCAGTTCTTATAACATAACGTGAGAAAAGTCGAAGAAAAGCCTTTAATAACATTGACACCTGTTCGACGTCAAAGACAACGGCAACTACTATCTTACTTATTCTCTCTCTCTCTCTCTCTCTCTCTCTCTCTCTCTCTCTCTCTCTCTCGCTCTCCATTTGCTCCATTTTCCATTTGCAACGGACGTGCTCGCCAAACAAATGTTACACAATCAACTCGAGTATCAAACAGATT